CGGTCCTGTGAACACGTCTGAGGGGCACTCCTGTCCTTTCTGCTGAAGATGCCGCGTCGGGAGCCCGCGGGGCACGTTGGGGTGCGGATGGGGCAGCCGCTGCGTGAACGGGGCCCGACCTTTCAGGCCTGCGGGGCCACCCGGGCTTCTGGGCAGCAGCCGCGCTGCTCGGCTTCCTCTCCCGAGTCCTTCTTTATCGCCGCTGTGCCCACGGGGACCGAGGGCCACCGTCTGCAGTCAGTGAGTCCTTTCCGTGTGGCCCTGCGCTGCGTGAATTCCCGTATCAGAGACATCGTCTGTCGTCCCACAGAGGACGTTAATAACACAGCCGCCCCAAGTCCCACGGGCGACTCTCGCGGGGGACCCCAGGTTCCTGCCTAAACGAGATGCCACTGCCTGTTAGTGGTCTTCGTCAGCCTGACTGAGGGGCTTATCATAAGACCCGATAAATGGTTATTGATCGGTGGTTTGGATCTAAATGCGGAGATACAGTACAGGGTCGTACATTAATTTAGAAAATAAATATTGTCTTTCTTTCAGTGTTAGAGTCTCTATCCATTTGTGGAGGCTTAGAGTTGCTGAGACTGAAACTATTAAAGACATATTCTCAGCTGGAAAAGAAATAGCTTGAATTCTAAACTAGCAGGACCTTTCCCCCATTTTCCTGAAAAAAAGCAGCAAATAAAAACGAAACGGAACGAAGCAGATGGAATGTGTGCTCGGAAGTTCCAGGGCAGGCCGGACGCGTCTGATGGTGTGCAGTGCGGCCCCGGCCAACACCTGCGCTGTTCCCCTCCGGGGTCCCGTCGAAGCCTCCAGGAGGGTCTGAGCCACCAGGACACGCAGGTGCAGTCTAACACGGACGCGTGTGCTGGGCGCTGGGCAAGGCGGTGAGCGACCTTAGAGGGGCAGCTCGAATTGAGGAGGCACCGCTGGGTCTTCTGACTTAACCGGAAAAGACATAAATAATTGGAAGGCGCGTCACTCACTCCCGTGGTGTCATTGAGCTGCAAGTGCTTACAAAGCAAACAAACGAGGGTTACATTGTGTCTGACCCTGTGAAACGCCCACCCATTGGCTGGAGCGGATCAGCTGCTCCACAGGGAGAGGAGCCCTTTCGTGTGTTTCAGGTCTGCTGCTGTTACTGGACTTTAAAGATAATTGCTGCTCTTCTGAATGTTACATCGTTATCCAAAATGTTATAACAGTGACTGACCATGCACCAGGATGGAAGCTAATACCGTCAGCCTGAGTCGTGAGTGCCCGCTGCGCCCAGGACGCAGCACCCTCAGGAGCGAGGGGGGCCAGTTCCAGCTTCCCCGCTGCTCCCCGTGGAGTTCTGGGCGGCGCCCCCGGCACAGAGGCGCTTGGTGTCAGTGCGCTCCCTTTTAGTGACTCCTGAACATCCGTGTAACAAACGGTGTGCATGCGTGAGAGCTGCTGCTCCGCGTTTCAGACCCTCTTTGTTGCAACGGCGCACGCTACCCTGGTCACTAATAGACGGGACTGTGGCTTGTCTCTGTCCTCCTTCCCTCCCTCCTGCCGTGTGTTGGGCATTTCCGTCCGGCCCTCGAAGCCCACCCTGGGTCTGGTGGTTGGAGACCTTGCGGCCCCCACGTCTGCGGGGGGTCTGAGAGAGGGCGCGGGAGCCAGGGGTCCATGTGCGTGTGTGTGAGCGAGCGGTCACCACGCCGATGAGGCCGGGAGGGACGTTGAAGCACGCACGGCATTGGATCCTGCGAGTTCCTGATGCCCCAGGGCGGTGTGGGGAGCAGCTGCTCAAGCAGGCTCGCCCTTTGCCTGGCGGGGAGAGGAAGGCCCCGGTGCGTGCGTGAGATCAAACAGAGGTAATTCCCCGCCAAAGCGTGTGGACAGTCGGGGGGAGTCAGGGTGAGAAGGGGCTGCTGCACTCTGAGAATTAGCTTTTTGAGAGCGTGGGGGCGGAGAGGGAGCTCTGTTTGCCCCCTTTCAGGTTCTCTGCGGAGCCCTCCCCCCTTAATAAAGGTAGATTAACAGAAAAACCAGCAGAAGTCTAGGGACATGGAGGTGCTGGCTGGGAGGGCTGAGCAGCTCTCCGAGTGGCCCAAGCTGTCACCGTGAATGCCTCCCTCAGCTAAGACACGCAGCAGGCGGCAGGCGGGCAGGTGGAGCCTGACACTGGGGACCAGGCCCAGCGCAGTCCGTGGAGCGAGGCCACCGGCAGGTGCGGCTGCGCCTCCCTTGTCCGGGAGACTGCAGACCCTGGGCCACCTTCTCCCCTGGTGCCGTGGGAGAGACCCCTCACCAAGGGAGATGCTGTGTCCAGGAAAGAGCCGGTCGGCTCCCTTCTCAGAGCTGCTCCTGGGCTGCTGATTCTTAGAAACGCTCAGCGCTGGCTCCTTCTCCCCTCTTGTCCCTTTGGCTGCTCTACAGTGAAAGTGACGCAGGGCAGATTATCAGGAGGGAAGCACATTTAACTTCCCTTGTGGGGGAGTCACAAAGACATGAGACTCCAGGGCCAGAGGGGCCCAGGAGGCTGGTCTGTGGCCGAGCTCAGGAAGGGGAGGCAGCTTCCGAGGGGAGGGGGCCGGGCCCTGGGAGCGGAGAGCCTGGGAGGTGACGTCTGTCCTGCGTGTGGGGAGGGCTCTCAGGTGAAAAGTCATCTCTGGTGACATTAGCTCCTTTCCTAGCATGGCCCCCACCTGCGGGAGAGGTGAGGTGTTTCCAGGGCAACCTGATGCACCTCAGTGGCCCTCAGCTCAGCGCAGCCCCGATGCCATCGTGGCCCCTCTGGGACAACCTCTTCGGCCCCTTCGGCCCCTGAGTGAAAACGAGAAGGACAGCACAGGCCCGCCCGGAAACGGTGAAAGCCTGCGCTGTCTGCTGCCCGCCTGGGGACAGGGCGCTCCCCTCCTCGCACAGGCCTGGGTGTGACGGGCGGTGGGGAGCCGCTGAGTGCCGTCCCTGCTAGTCGGGGCCTCTGCTGAGAGGTTTAGGTCGAGGGCATGGAGCCGGGGCCTCTTTCCTGGGGGCCGGAGCGGGAATCGCAGCCGAGGCACGTGACACACCCTCGCTTTGTCTCCTTGTGCAGTAAGCAGTGCAGGGCCCTCCCTGGGGAACCCCCTGACCTCCCCCTCAGGGACCGGGGGACAGCAGACGATGTGCCTGTGCCAACGTAGACCTGAGCCCTCCCTGGGACCAGTGGCTGGAGAGTACAAAAAGGGATGAGGGGGCAGACAGGCCATTACAGCCCCCCAGACTTCCAGGAGCAGCGGGGACATTAGACAGCGGCCAGGGAGGACGGGCAGGGTGTGGCACGGGTGCCAGAGCAGGGGACAGGAGCGGATCGGGAAGCGAGACGTTCAGGGGACGTCGTCGTCACGGTCATCCTCGTCCCATTGCCCTTTCTTGCCGAGTTGGCGTTTGGTGCCGTCAGGAAGCCGCTGTGTTCTGAGAACTTCGGGCAGAACTGATTTTAGGCTCCTCAGTGCGGTGGGCTCATGGAAAACACGGTTACTGCGGAAAAGTGGAAAATGGAGGAAAATTGTCCAAAACTTGGTGCATTTTGAAATCAGTTCTCTATCTTTTTCAAACAGTGTAATTGTTATAATAAAATACTTTCTGTGTGATTTATTATTATCCTTAAATTCCAGGTTTCTCGACTGTGGTTGGTCTTTGTCCCAGACTCCCAGACCCAGTGGGAGCTGTTCCCGCGGGTCCTGTGTGGTGTGGGCCCGTCCGCGGGAAGCTCAGAGAAGGACCCTGCACGGGCCCGGGGCCGCCCGGGCTCCTGTGCGGAAACGTCTTTCTCGGGAGGGAACAGAGTTGCGCTGTGTCAGGGTGAACGGAGTGGGAACAAGTAGAGGGGGTCTCAGATGCGGGAGGGGTCACGCAGGGGAGGGCAGTTCCGGGAGGCGGCTTCGATCCAGCCGCCAGCAGGGCCCTGCTGGCTTCCTGGGGCAGGGGGCTGGGCTGGGTGAGTGAGGACAGCAGCCTCGGGCGTCCCCTCCTCCCCAAGGGGACCCGGGGGCAAAGCGCCCAGAACCCTCTCAGGTTTTAGAAGCTGCGTTTTTGGTCGTTTCGGATGAGACTATAGTCCACAAATGGTCCTGACTCAAATCAGAAGAGAGGGCGACTTCTTGGTCGGGATTTTGCGAGAGAGGATGCAGAGGTTTGGACTCTGTAGCTGCAGATAAGTTTTTCCCCATCGAGGAAAATATCCTTGCTGTATTTTAGCCAGTTTTTCTCGGAGAAATAGTCAGGAATGACGGAACTAGAAGGAGACTTCCTACGATCGTTCCATTCATTTCTCACCTAATTTGATCTGCTTTGCCCTGGTTTTTGAGAACAGAGAGTAAATAAGTGTCCTTCAGTTTTGGAGGCGGGTCTGCCCCAGTGGTTGTGTCTGACGGTGGAACCGGCTGTTCCGGGGGCGCCCCTGTTGGAGTTGACACGCAGCCGGCGGCCGGGTGGTGGGCCCACGGGTGTTCGGGGCTCGGATTCGTTCCGTACACAATCTCCCCGCTGTCCTTACACTGCCGTGTCTGCACCGTGGAGGGAGGAGGCTGAGACCGGCCTCTCGAGAGTGAGATCAGTGAGGGTGCGGCCTGCCCAGCGAGCGTGCTCGCCTGTCCCCGGTCACGGCTGAGAACTCACAGCTCACGGGGGTGTTTGCTGATGGTGGTTCCTAAGTGTTTTCCTCCACACGTGGACTTTGACAAAAATCATACACACACACACGTTTCTTTAGTCAAATAAGTGTGCGGAAAGATGAATAAAGCAAAATAAAGTGGGGACGGGAGGGTAGGGACAGTTTCTGATTTCCGGGGGGCGCCGCCCTCCCTCAAAGCAGGGACCGGAGCAGGTGCGTCTCACTGGGGTCCTTGGGGCACAGCCTGTCACGGGAGGAAGGTCACCGCCCACGGGAGGCCCCCGGGACGCCGTGGCGTTGGCGTGGTGGGGCGGTGAGCTGCGTGTGCGTCTCTGTCTTATTCTCTGTGTGTTTCTCCCCAAATCTGCAGGCCACGCCGCGGTCAGAAGGGGCGGTAAGACTGTCGTTCTTCCGGGTGTCGCCGTTCTGCCGGAGCGATGGAGACGCCCTGGGGTGCCGGAGGCTCCGTCCTGTCTCTGATTTGGTTCCTGCTGGCGGTCGCCGCCCCCACGGAGATCCCTCTCTCAGGTAAAGTGACAGCGCTCGGTGCTGCTCCTGGGACTCCGCACCTGCGTTCTGGGTTTGAGTACAGAGGTGTTTCTCCGCATTTCCCACCACACGGCCACCAGAGTCCGTCTCTGCCCTTTAGGTCTTGGGCGGCTCCGCTGCGCACGCTGGTTCTTCGCAGCCCCGGCTGCTGCCTCCGGTGCAGACGTGGCCCATGTGAACTGAGCTGTAGATGGGGGGGCTTTGTGCCACGTAAGATTCTCTGAAATGTGACCCACGGCGATCCTATTCTGTGGCCTGGGTTCTTATTTTAGGGACGTTATGATTTAGCAATTACTGGTACCCAACCAACCATGACAGAAACAAACCGAGTGAGCCGTGTGTCCTTGCCCCAAACGGCCGTGGGTTTAGGACCGAGGTGAGCTGGGAGGGCGGCGAGGGGCCGCGTTGCCGGGGCCCAGATAACCCAGCAGTGGTGTCCGTGCGGACCCAGGGAGGCGCCTGCAGCGTGAGTCTGCGTCGAGAGGCTGGTCGGTGGTCTCCTGGAGGGGCTTGTCTTACACATGTTGGTAGGGGTGAACCCAGACTTCGGAAAGTTGCTAATCAGTTTAAAGAACTTAGTCTAAAAGTTCAACACACGGCGGGTCTACAGACACGGAGCATGTGCCAGCGTGTTAACTGTTCCATCCCGTCCTTGCGACAAGAAGGCTCGGAGACTGCTGGGTAGTCAGAGGTGTTTTATTGGCCAAAGTTTCAAAGTTTTACCTGCGCAGGGGCGAACTCTCGGGGTGCCTCCGGGGACACACGAGTGCCAAAGTGGCTGCAAATGAGAGTCGCGCCTAACGCTTACAGGCTAGGGTTCTTATAGAAACGAGCAAGCAAGGAACTTCCAGAAGCAGAAGGTGGCAGTTAGCTGCTGGCTCGGGGGCTTATGCTGGGGCTCGTGATCTTGCTGATGATTGGCTGGCAGGGCTCAGGAACAGCTCGTGCTCGGGTTAGCCATTGGCCTAGGGGCTCATGCCAGGGGTAAAAATTCCCCCCCCCCAACGGATGTTCCAAGAAGCTATCTGCTTAACTTCCTGGAACATTTGCCCGGGGGTGGGGGTGCAGTCCCCCCACCCAAGCTTGAGCAAGCAGCTAAGGTTGAACAGACAACTTAGTTTTCTTAAGACTATTTCCCTTAGCCCCCAACATTAACTACGTCGCGTAGAAGTCCGGGAAGCCTCCCCTGTGTGGGACGTGGGACATGGGACGATCGGCACGTGGGACGTGACAGACCCCGGAGGGGTCATTAGGTGTCTCATCCGTGAGGTTCAAGCGTGATCGTGCCGTGTTTCCTGCGTGTGGGTTGGAGAGTCATGGCCGCAGAGTCACGGCCCGGTCTGAGCGTGAGCATCTCAGCGCTGGGAACGGCCTGCCGGGCCCCGGAGGGTCAGTCCGGGCCTCAGAAGGCCAGACAGGGGTGCCAGGCTGACGCTGCCCCGGACGTGTTCCGAAAGCCCAGTCAGAGGCAGAACAGAGGGGCCGTCGCTCTGCGCGGCGTGAGGCGTTACAGCCACTGCCGGGGGCCCTGCTGAGGGTGTGACGTGCACTCGCCCATCATGCAGTGCGGGCAGCCGCACGCCTGCGCCCACCCAGGTGAGAGTCCCTTCCCTCTTCCTAAGGGGCCCCACTGGGGGACAGAGGCGAGGTTCCCTCTGAGCAAGGCCAGCTGCACCCCGCTGGCTCACAGACAGGCAGAGGAGTGCCCGCCCATCGCAGAAACTCTGGGGGAGCGGAGGTCATTCCCCCTGAGTAGGGCCTTTTGGTTTGGGGCGGCAACACCCAGTGCAGAAGAGCCAGGTTCCCGGGGGCCCCGTGGGAAAGGGCCACCGCTTCCCGTTCTCCCCGCAGCAGGTCCTGGGCCCTGACCCCACTCTCTGAGGGGACCCGCCCCCCGGCGCCTTTGCACATGGGGGTCTTCAGTGGTGCAGTGTGTAAGGTTTTCCACGGCGCTTGGTCTGATCCGGTTGCCTGAGCCCCTCACACGTTTTCATGCCACACTGTCCTCAGACAACAATTGTTATAAAATATTAATGACATGTTTTCAGAACAAGCGAATATTACCCATTTATTTCAGCGCTCCGGAACATGCACGGGCGGGTGAAACCCGGGCAGGCATTCAATTTGAATGTCAGCGTGTCGGGTGTCTCTGTAATTGGCCTAATTATGGAGAAAGGATTTATAATGTAGAATGTATATTCTTATGACACCCACAGGTGATGAACGCCATTCCCTGAATAATTAGCTATTGCCGAGACTTTACAACCTTAGCAAATTTAGGAGAGAATAATGCCCCGATAAACGGGTTGTTTCCAGTCATCAGCTGATGCTCAGGGACCCGCAGCTGCGGTGCCTGCCCCCCATCCACACCTGCAGCAACATCGAAACACACAAATTCACAAGGAGGTCCGGGCCTGGGCCACTCAGAAGTGGGAGGGAGCAGTACTGAGGCAGGAGTCGGTGAGGACACGGCTGGACTCTGTTGTTGCGGAACTGCTGACGCCCCGGGGGTGCAGCCGGGACTGGGGCTCATGTCCCCGAGGCAGCGAGACTCAGGCACCAGGCGCGTCAGGAGGAAGTGAGGAAAGCTGCAATTTGGAGTTGGGAACGGCAGGGGCCAGCGTCCTGGGTTGAGCAGCAGTCACAGGCGGCCAGCCGTGAAACGCTTGCTTTCATTGGGTCCGTTGTGAGAGCCTTCCTGTCAGCCTGCCGTGGGCTGAGCCAGGGGGCGCCGCAGAGCAGCCGTTTGGTGTGACAGATGCCGCCATTGCCTCTGTCCCTGCACCGGGCCCTTGTTGGAGCACCGCTGGGACCCCCCCCAGGACAGCAGGCAGGCTGGGGTCACGCTGATGGGGCTCTGGTGGGTGTCATTGTGCATCTCATGAGCCTGGCACGTCTGGGGGACAGACAGCTGACCATACATGTCATCACTGATAACGTTTGAGCATCTGAGCAAAACTTGGGATCTTGGCAAACTCGAGTTCCCCACCCTGAGCTCAGTGGCTTCCCGGCAGTTAAGGCTCCTCGGGTGCGACCAGCGAGGGCGGCAGCTGGCGTGCGTTTGGGGCTCTGTGCTGTGAAGCCGGCCAGAACCGGGTGCTCGGTGTAGCGCAGCCGACCCGCGCTCCTCCCAGAGGACTCCCGCGCGGCGTCAGGGCGCAGGCCCCACTGCAGAGACACGGGCGTGACGGGCGTGTGCAGCAGAGCAGGGCAGCTTGCCGCTGGGCCGTCGGGGTCCGAGTGGCAGGAGATGCGCCGGTGACGGCCTCGCGGAGAGTTTGGTGTACGCTCCCGTTGCCGGGTGGGACTGTGACTGTCCCCCTCTCCAAGTCCAGGTCCGAGTGAGCCTGCGTCTTCACGTCCTTACGCAGAACGACTCGAGCAGGAGGTTGGAGCAGGGGCCTGAGAACCCGCGTCTGCCCTGACTCAGAAGTGTGACGAGCGGGCCCGGGCCCAGCGCACTGTTTCTGAGAACACACGTGGTTTAACATGTGACGGGGTTCTGTTAGTTTCCACGGTGGCAGATGTGGTCAGGTGTAACTCGTATGAACAAAGGCACCTTGGCGTCTCCTAGAATTTTGGGAAAATTCAGGTGACCCGAGACCAAAGGACTAAGGACAGCTTCCCCAGCCTGAGCCCCGAATTTCACAAACAGGAGCCGGTGGGGGCTGGGCGTGCTGTGCGGGGCTTGGAGTCCTCCTTGTGGCCCCACTCTGCAGGGTGACGCCCCCAAATCGGCCTCCCTGACTTTCTGCAAATTGCTCTTCTCAGAACATGTTCACCGAAGGCAGGTTCCCGCTGAACCGCCAACCCCCTCATGGGTTCTGTCCCCTGCCCGGGTTTGAGGCGGCGGGAGCCGCGCTCAGTGGCCGGGTGTCTATCAGCGGGGACCATGGAGGTCCGGTGGCAGAGGGTCACGTGCCATGAGCTGTGTCCCCCTCAAGTCTGAGCCCAGCCCTGTTCTCCAGCGTCAGTGCACTGAGCGTGCTGGTGGCTGTGCGCGTTCGGTCCTATGGGGGGTCTTGGGGGGGCCTGGAGTCCCCAGCGGCTAAGTCGGGAAGAGAAGGAAAACTGGTGAGTGGGGAATGGCAGCTGGTGAACAGGCTCAGGGAAGACCACTGAGGAGTAAATGGAACAAAAATAAAGGGGGGGGGCTATGTCTCCCCTGGTAACAATCAATCGGACATTTTATCATTTTAGAGGCTGGTGCTGGGGGTCAGGGCGCTGCCCAGAGTCTCCCCCAAGTGTCTGTGCCTGGAGGTTTGTCACAAGTCGTTGACCAGACACAGGGGAATCTGTGAGGACGTTTACCGAGGTCTGTGTTACGCGGGAAAGGAAAAATGAGAATAAAATCCAACATCCGATAATAAGAGAAGCGTTAGATGTTTGTTAACCACAGATCAGTGGAAAGAAACAGTGTAAAAGTAGTGAATGAAATATAATGTCTGAGAAAACTATAAAGAGAAATAAAAACAGCAGACATGTCAAAATGACGGCGCTAGTGAATGGTGAACAGACACAGGCACTCAGTGCCAGGGATTTCCAAACAGGTCATTTAAAGTTGTGACCATACGGCAGGTTTTCTTCTGCTTTAAAAACTGGTCCACTGTTCTGGGTGGAAACTCTGGGTAAACGGCCACACACGGCCACACGAAGTCCCGGCACCGGATCAGGTCCCTCCGAGTTAAACGCGCTGTGGGAAGAGGCTGTCAGACGGGTTCCTTAACTTTCACTCCTTCAGCACTGCCCGGTGCCTGTCACTGCCCGGCGCCCGTCACTGCCCGGCGCCCGTGTAAAGTGCGTTCTGTTGGAGCTGAAGTAACCTCCCCCGGTGTTGGAAGACTGACCCTAAACACCTCCTTTCGCTATTCAGTCCAACAGGTTCCCACCATCACAAAACAGTCGAGAGTCCTGGTCGCCTTCCCCTTCGATGAGCATTTTCAGATCGAGTGCGAAGCCAAAGGAAACCCGGAGCCGCAGTGAGTGTCCCCTCCACCCGAACGGCTGTGGGACGTGTGAAGCTCCCCCCTGTCTCCCAACTCTGACCGAAGCGAGCTGGTTGCACCGGAGGTCTGTGTGACAGGGGGAAGGGCCGCCAAAGCCTGGTGGCCGCGTCCGTGGAAAAACAGCCTGGCTGATGTTCGTACGATTGTCTGCCAGCGGAATTCATTCCTCAGTGAGACACACGGTCCCGTGTAGATGGTCGGCAGAGGCTGGGCTCTCTGCGCTGTGCGCGGGCCCTGCCTTCCAAGTGAGTCCCTGAGATGTGGGGACAGGGGCGTGTCCTGCTCAGTGAGAGGCAGGTCGTGAAGGCAGAAGCTAGCTGGTTTGTGAGCGGGGTCCGTGCACCGCGTGGGTTACAGTGTGTCTCTACCTGTGCCGCCCGCACTGTCTGGTGAGCCAGTTGCTGCTGGTGTTTTCTAAGTTATCATGGAAGTGTGCCGCCACCCGGGAGGCTGGATGACGCAGCCGTGGCACGTCACTCCCAGTGCTTCTGGTGACGAGCTGCTTGTTACAGTGGGTCATCGCAGTCCCCGAGAAGCCAGTCCACAGTGTCGTACATGTTGGGGGAGGAGGAAGTGTGTGCTGGGAGGGGCGTGGGGAGAATTTCAGACTAAAGTTCTGAGAGGTTCAAAATGGGCAGCTCCATCGTCTCATCCGCTGTGAGTGCTCTGTGTCCCTGATGAAGGCGTGTGATCGGTGGGAACGTGCCATCTGAAATGTGCTGCCACCCAGCAGGGTGCTTTGTCACACTGCCGCTCAGAAGAGGGGAGCAGATGGGTGACTTGAACGGTGGCCCTGTGACAGCGACGCTGTCCTCACCAGCACTGTGGTAACTAGAAAACTCAGTGAGCAAAATTACAAATCAGTGTGGCCTCAGATACGTGACATTTACCGGGGTCTCCAAATGTCAGTAACTGGACAGATTTGAAAACAGTCCTGACTTAAAAAGACCAGGACAAAGCCCAAAGTGCTGCCGATTTGCTGTTTCAGCTGCTCTTTTCCGTGTCCAGGCCGCTCTTACAAAAACGCGGTGCCTGGTGGGGGGGTGAGGGGGGCGCGTCATGGCAAAGACAGGTCTCCGGCAAAGACTCCTTCCGGAGGCCGTGGGGTCCAAGCCCGTCCGCGGGGACCCCGCTGGCTCCCTGAGTGCCCCCCTCTGTAACCTCACGGGGTGGGGGCAGGGAGAGCAGGAATTCACTTTGGTACAGGGACCCTGATTCCCTCCGTGGGGACCCCCACTGGTGACCCCATCGGCTGCCACAGGCCCCGCCTCCCAACACCATCAGGTGAAATCTGGGGGCGTGAACGTTCGGTCCACAGCAGCCCGTAAGGTGATTTCTACTATATCCCAGTAAAAAAAGGGTTTTTTTTGTTGTTTTGTTTTTTACCAGGAATGCTTTGGTTTTGTGTTGAAACATCTGTGCATTTGTGTATAAATACTTCAGGGCGTGTTATGATTTTCTACATCACTAAGCTGAGTTTCTGTTACAGATTCACGTGGACGAAAGATGACAAGCCCTTTGACCTCTCCGACCCACGGGTCATCGTCTCCAACAACTCGGGGACCTTCAGGATCCTGAACGAGGGGCACATATCACACTTCCAGGGCAGGTACCGCTGCTTCGCCTCCAACAGGCTGGGCGCCGCCATGTCGGAGGAGATGGAGTTCATCGTTCCTGGTGAGTCCTGCGTGGGGCACCGGCCTCGGGGGGCGCAGTTGAGGGCGAGGGGGCTGCTGCTCTGGGCTGCGGTGAAGCGGCAGGTGGAGGTTTAACCTGTCGCCCTGTGCCGTCCTGTCTGGGGACCGGAGGACGCTGTCCCGGGCCCGACACCAGGACTCGGGGAGCCGGCGGGCAGCGGAGGTGGCCATCGTCCACTCAGCATCCAGTTCCGCCGCGTGGTCAGACCCTGGCGTTAGGCAGGTTTGGCCGGTTGAGCCTCAGAAACATCCCCCAGCGCCTGGTCACGCCGGTCGCTCCCTCATCGTGCGGATCCCACAGCTCTGGCAGCTGTGCCAGGGCGCGGGCGGTCCCCACGCAGCCTCCCCGCGACCCGCCGTCATCCCCTGGCTGCCGTGTGGGACCCGTGGGTCCACGGGGGCAGAGGACACGGAGCCTCACTTCCGACGAGACACGACGCAGGCAGCCTCTCACCTGCCGGGGGCGGGCAGAGGGCATCGGAGGCCCACCCGAGGTCAACACAGGTGTCTGTCCAGAGAGGAGGGGCAGAGGTCGGTGTTACCGGGAATGTCTGCCATTCACGGTCGGCACAGGGACCGGTAGCTGCTCTCCTATCAAGGTGTCACTTACCCACCATTACCGCCAAAACTAGGCCTTTGTCACCACCACCTTGGGCTCCGCGCCTGGGGCCTCTGGCCGTCGCCTTTCACCGTGTGTCCTTTATCTTCCCTGACCTTTAAGGGACCTGGTGCCATGTGGTTCTAACCAAAGGCCCGGAGAATAAGTGTTTACCTCTGGTCTGTCATCCACGGCCAGGTGACAGTTTCTTCCGGTGTCGTGGACACCGAAGTGAGGTGACTTGAAGAAAGCTGTGGCCCTCGCGGATATGGGAAGGACACACACGCGCTTCCAAAAAACGCCGTGGGAAACCATGTGTCTTGTCCCGAAAGTGGGGGCGGGGACCGGGTTTAAATCGCTGCAGAGGAGAGAACAGGGGCCAGTAAAGACACATGTGAAGTGTGCGTCCCGATTCCGGTAAAAGTCCAGAAAAATGGGAACAGTGGTCAAGCGGTGGGGTGAGGAAGGGGAAGAAGAGTGAGACAAGCAGACACTTTAAAAAGTGGAAACAAATTCAAATACATATCGCCAATTAAAGGGACAAGCAAATGGACTAAGTGCTCCAAATGAGAGAAAAAGCCGTGAGTGATTTACAGCGTGAGGCCCCTCGGATCACAGGACGTGGACCCCTTAGCTGAGAGGAGGAAGTGATGCCCCCGCTGCGTGTTGCTCCCGGAGAGCAGTGGGGCTGCGTCCTGCCCGGCCCGAGGGACCTGGTGTTACAAGGACTCCCCTGGACATCAGCTCAGGGCGTGGACAGGACAACGGAGCGTGTGCAGCAAAAATGGAGCCGCAGGGAGAAGCAGACAGCTCTGTGGTCGCGGCGAGAGCGGTTTTACGGCACCGTCTCGTTGTTCAGAAGCTCGAGCCCAGAAGTCCGTGGGAGGCGCCCGGGAGATGGAAAGGCCCTGCCGACGGCCACAGCGGGCGTGACACCGAATCCCACCCTGGGCGTCGTCCGGGTGCTTGGTGACGTCTCAGGAGGAAAACAGGACCGTAGGCAGTTAAATAGGAATCCACAATAAAGAGAACGTGGAAAAGTCTAGAATCTTTGCAAATTACGGACCATATCTCCAAGTCACTCCTGGGCCCCAGGGAAATGGCAAGGAGACAGGATACGCCCAGAATCCTGGTGGCGGCAGGAATTCTGCCCAGGACGTCTGCCTGAGCGCTCAACTCAGACTGACCCGCTGCAACCCCGGCGGTGAGAGCACCGGACCCCACGATCCGGGCGACACCCCAGAGTCCGAGGGCTTGGTGTGGCTCCCAGGACCCAGGTCACAGGCCGGCTGTGCGGTCGCAGACACGAGCTCTCGACCTCCTCCAGGGAAGCCCGGCCGCCGGCCCCAGGGACTCCGTCTCCCGGCCGACGTGTGAGCGCCCTGTGCAGGACCCTCCGTGGCAGCACAGTTGGTGCTAGAAGCGTCCTGGGGACACACGAGTCCCATCGCAGGGGCTCCCACGAGAGGACCGTTGTGTGTTTGGATAAAGAAGACCACTGGGCAGTGGACATCCATGAACCTGGGGAACAGGTCGGACGTGTGTACGCTGTGGTTCTGCCTGTGGGAGCTCGGGCGTGGGTAAAAACAGATGTTGTCCAGGAGCGTGATTTCCTGTGGTGAAATTACAATGAAAAATGAAACCCAGGGCGTGGCTGTCTGAGGGAACTAGGCGGGCGCAGGGCACCCGGCGGGAAGCCACGGCGGAAGCAGTGTTTTCAGTGGGTGGGCAGTGGGTGGAAGAGCGTGACCTGTTTCTTTCCTTCCTTGCACCCTTTCCGTTTACTTCGCAAACGGCCCTTTTGTGCATGTACAATGAACAGGTGCGCAGCCTGGCCATCTGTCTGCATTCGACATACTGGGCTGATAAGTGGATTTCAGCGGCACGGTGAAGGGCAGGGCAGTGACGTTTGCACTTGGAAGTGACCTCCTGGGTCTGTGTCTGAGGCGCCGTTCCATAGCAAGTGGTAATGAATTCTGGATCAGAAGTGACTGCTTTGGAAATTACGGTCAAGGATCATAAAACTAGATCGCTCCATCTATCATCCTTCTACCTACCTACCTATTTATGTGCATATCCACCCATCCACCCATCAGCTGTTTTCTCTGAAACCGGTTTAACTGAAATAAGATGAGGGAGAGAGAGGTTATTAGAAATCTGCTGAAGGAGACACAGTGCCAGGCTGATCCCTCACCCGAAGTCTGGCGGTTGCTATGGAGACAGAAGAGCGAAGGCAGCAGCCGGTCCTCTTGCAGAGATGGAAATGGCACATTTTGGTCTGCAACTCTGCCTTCCAAGGATTTTTAAAATGTCTTCCCTGGCAGTCGGAGCAGACCCAGTGCAGACCCAAGCAGTGTGAGGGGCTCTGGGGGGGCCCCGCTGGCACTGGAGGTGCAGGCGTGGGGGGTTGGGCTGAGGGATGGGCGGTTGCTTCATTTTCCTGCTGCTCGAAAAGAGAAAAATGAATTAGTTTCTCGGGCATCGTGTTCCGTCTCCCCTGAAATTGCTTCTCCACCTCACCCCTTTCTGGGGTCGTTTGGATTTTGAACAGGACCAGAACCCGGGTACCAGGGGTTTGTGAATCGGGGACCAGCCATAGCTTTCTCCAGCCTGTATCCCTGGATCTTCTCTGACACTGCAGAGATCTGATGCTTTTTTATACCAATAGAAACTCTGTGATCTGAATTTTGTAATTTATTTCTCTCCCTCTTTCAAATTTTCGGTAGTAACCTTGCGGGCTTCAGCCACCTGAGTGCCCCAGAGAGTAAAGCCACTGAAAATCCTGACCTTGTCCCCAGAGACAGGAGCCTCAAGGGCACACACAGTGCCCCGCTCGCGACCACCCTGCCTCGGGTTGGCCAGGGGAAGAGTCAAAGGAGCGGCCTCCACCCTCCCAGTCACAGGAGCAGCCATTTAGTCACTGGGTTCCCAGAGGCAGCGCGGAGAGTTGGTCTATTATTCAGCAAGTCTGTGAGCCCTCCTCCGTGCCGGCCGCTTTCCTCGTGATTTAGGGTGCTGCGGGGGGTTCCGTGAGAAACGTCTGCCCCGTGGGCACGGCCAGAGGGCCTGGGGGAGGTGGGCTGTTTCCTCCCCTTCACCATCACAGCCCCCTGTGGAGTGAAAATGGTAACGTTCGATTCTGCTTTGCCTGTGCCGGGTCGCCCTCCGCCAGGGCGGGCCGGCCTCGGTGACCCGGCTTCTCTCGTCCACCTGGGCTTGGGCGGAGCTTCTGCCCGTGTGACATCGCCAATGGCGTCCGAGGTGTCATTTGGATACCACACGTAGCCCCCCCCCCCCCGTGAGCAGTGGGGGTTCTGCAGCGGTGGACGCCCGTCTGGAATGAGCTGGGAGCCCGGCGCCTGGGCAGGGTGGTCGTTTGGAACCGATTTACACCAAGCTGCATGTGTCCCAGCTCAGCGAAGCCCGTGCGTCCCTCCAGACCAACACAATCAGCGACAGTCATCGGCGGGGGTGACTTTCAAAGGGAGGTGTGTGTCTTTAGCTTTTTGAGTTACAGCAGCCTCCATGCCAGCTGTTGACTTATGGTGATTAAATTTCGCATTTTTCCGTGGGTGTCAAAATGTTTGCTTTCTCACACAGCATCGGACTCATTAAATGGTTTCAGGGTCAAAGAGTCAGACCTAAAACCCCTGAGAAATTACTGTCCTTTGTGATACCAGTTCTCAGACCTTGAATTACTGCACGTATAAATATCCTTCCCTGTTTGCAGATGCAGGGATTTATAGAATGTGGCAAAGGGTCTGGTGGACTTGTAAATTTTATTTTTCTCATTTTTTTTAATCGTTGACACCTCGGAAGCCAGGTGAACGGCACAGTCACATGTGCGGAGTTGGGATTTTGTAACCTAGATTGAATTGACACGGGATGGGCGTTCCTCCCTGGCGACAGGATGCGTTTGAACCATCAGGTTTTCTGAGCACTCGGAGGGGGCAACCTTCCTACTGGGGCTTCGTGTGTCTGATTAATCAGCGGCAGCACGATGGACTCAGCAGGTTGGGTGACCGCCCCACGACCCCACCGACTTCAGGGCCAGTGAGCCCTGGGCTTCGGGTGAAGCGGTCACATGAAACAAGGGGTGAGCACCTGGAGCGCTGGGTAGGGCCAGTGTGTGAGTCACCACGCGTCACAGCCTGCGGTAAGGCTGTCTGCACGGTGACTCGGAGGGCGGTGGCTCTGGGTCAGAGGCTTCAGCAGGTGGGCGGCGCTGCTGTTTACCTGGGGACCCGAGCCCAGTGCACGTGCGGAGCAGGCTTCCTGCCTCTCTCGGGGAACCGCAGGGCTCCCCAGGCGGCCGTGTCCCAGGGGCATACACAGACCTACCAGGGGAAATGTGCCGGAATGGGGAACGGGGGGGTGTGGGGGGACAGCGGGGACCGTCCCGTGACAGAAGCCTGCCGGCCCACGTGGCCAGGCAGTGTGAGGACCACCCTGCACCCTGCGACGCTAGGCTTTGAAGGGCCCTTGATTTTGGACAAAAAGCCAGTTGGTGCAGCCAGCGGGGGCACCGGCAGGAAGTGTCAGCAGCTTCCTGGGCAGGAGAAGCGCGAGCTTCTCAGGGAGGGGCCTGGCGAGATGTGCGCAGGTCTCTGGGGGCCCTGGTGGTCTTCCCCGAGCCGCGGTTTGAGCGCGAGCTCCAGCGGTGGAAAACCCCAGTGCATCCCACTCGGCGAGCCCTGTTAGCAAATCCCTTCCTGGGCCCTGCTCTCCCACGGGGCCGGGGTGACTCCGTGATGCCAGCTCCCCTCACAGTGGAAAGGCCCTGATGTGACGTGTGAGCAAAACGCATTTTGAATGTTCTTAAAGCTGCCGTACAAATACTTTCATGAAAGTCCCCAGGGCTGGCGCTGGGGCCCGGAGCCCACTGCCCGGTGCAGAAAGGCAGGTGGGACATGTGTGGCCACACGGACGTCTCAGTGTCAGAGTGCCCTACAGTTCCCAGGTTCCTGAGTGTCCTTAAACCTGTGTGGGGGGGTGCGCCCTCTTCTGCAGCGGAGAGATGAGAACCAGGACTGCGGCTGCTGAACTTACTGAAAACGGCTCTGATTTTTTAAAAGAAGGTTCACTAAAATATCGCTTATGCCTTTGAAAGTTGTAACACAGTGTCTTCCGATGGCTTTCTCACCAGACGTCCCCAAATTCCCGAAAGAGAAAATCGAGCCCCTGGAGGTGGAGGAGGGGGACCCCGTGGTGCTGCCCTGCAGACCCCCAGCGGGGCTGCCCCCCCTGCACATTTACTGGATGAACATCGGTAAGTCGCGTCCGTCCCCTCGCCATGGTGTCACTCGAGAACACAGGGCAGCAGCGGGTCGCCTGGGTGGACTCGTCACATTGTCACTCTGCGTGTCTGCAGTCTGCTCCGAGTTTGAAAGCTGCCCTCAGTGTGTCTGTGGACTCGAGGGGAGCCCCTCACTCTGTCCCCGCTCGGGGTCGAACCTGGGAGGGGCAGAGGCTGGCGAGGCACTCGCATCCGTGCCCAGACCACCCGCCCATCTCTGCCACGGGGGCCATTTGGCGAGGGCTCTGCAGGTCTGTTGCCGGCCTGTGTCCCTGTTTCAGCAGCACTTTGCCCGCTGTGTGCCGGGGCCCGCAGGGCAGCGGGCATTAGCCTTTGTGGTTGGCTTTCCAAAGCGTTTGCTGGCTCTTGAGTTGAAGTTCCAGCTTCTAGCAAAGCCCACGTCTAGTACGTGTCTTAGCGGCGTCTCTAAATGTTCTCTCCCGTGGCCTCGGAGGGAAATGGTGACGTCCCTACAACCCTCAGAGGAAGCTCAGGACGCGACTCTCAGCGGCAGCCAGACATCTGGGTGCTGATCCCTCGGGCGCTCTCGGCTGTGTCCAGGAAAGAGACGGTCCTTTCTCAGAGACGGCATCGGGGAGACCGCTTAGAAAGCAGTGTCACCCTAAGAAAGGAACAGTGGTCACTAGGCCGTTGTCTGAGTCGGACCAGTGTTCCGACACACCCTTCGCACCCCCGAGCAGAAGTGGGGGCCCCGGGGTGGGGTGGGAGCTCACCTTCGGGTCCCGGGGAAGAGCGGGTTCCCGGGCAGGTCGGTTTTCTCCTCCTTGCTCACCCTTCTCAGCGCCTGTGCTGAGACCAGGGACGGGGAGAAGCTGTAGGAGGGAGACGAGAAGCAGTAGGGCACTGCGCCCACCCCTCTGAAATTTTTACCTACCGATTTGAGGGCAGGGAGAGAAACCTTGGGTTGTTGTCCCACTTTTCGACACGTTCACTGTTGGTGCGTGAATGTGCCCTGACTGGGGACCAGACCCACAGCCTCGGCGTGTGGGGCCCACGCTCTAAGGAACGACCGTCGCCCCATTTAACGGCGGCTGCTTCTCCCCAGAACTGGAGCACATCGAGCAGGACGAGAGGGTGTACACGAGCCAGGAGGGGGACCTGTACTTCGCCAACGTGGAGGAGCAGGACAGCCGGAGCGACTACTGCTGCTTCGCCGCCTTCCCCAGACTGAGGACCATCGTGCAGAAGATGCCCATGAAGCTGACGGTCCGCAGTTGTGAGTACAGGTGGCTCCCCTCCCCCGCCAGGGCCACACACACACGCGTGTCTGTGACTTCGTCCGGGCCCAGGCCCGCGAGAGCGGGGCCGTGTTTTCCGCCACGTCTGGTTCAGCTCCAGAGACGCCTGCCCGGTGCGAGACACCGGCCCTTGCAGCTCCGCGGGGCCCGGTCGCTCGCAGCCAGAAAACCACGCCTCCCTTCTCAGTGCAGTTAGGGCACAATTTGTTCCTGTTTAGACTGAGGGGAGGGAGGGAGGAAGAGACGGAGAGAAACTTCAGTGCGGCTGCCTCCCATGCGCCCCCTACTGGGGACCTGGGCTGCAACCCAGGCGTGTGCCCTGACTGGGAACCAAACCAGGGACCCTTGGGTTCTCAGGCCCACGCTCAGTCTGCAGAGCCACACCAGCCAGGGCCAAAGGAGCACCATTCCAATTGCCATCTCGCCAAGCTTTTCTGCCTTCCCCAAATTGACCAAGTTATTTGAATTGCTTCTCGTGCCTCCTCGGGCCCGGGTGCCCACGTGGGAAAGCATCTCGGGGGGAGAAAGAACCAGACTGGAAGGGCAAGATGGTTGGTGCGAGCTGGGCCGCGGTGGGTGTGGCCGCGCCCCTGTCCGCCTGGGCGGCGACTGTTTCCTGGTTACACGTGACTCGCTGTGCCAGGGCCCCATGGCGTCAGCCTGGGCTCTGTTCCCCGGGGTGACCTTCGCACCCTCCGCACCCGGATCCATCGTCGGGGGTGGTCCGAGGTTCAGCTGTGTGTAAGCACCGGTTTCCACTGCTCCGTAAAGAGCACGTTCTAGCCAGGCGTGGTCACACCTCATCTTGTGATGTTGCCAAGAACGAACTGTGACTTTTCATTCTTTGTTGGCATCGGCACCCACCATTATGTTTGTGAGTTTTTTTTCTTCCATTTTTTCATTTCAGTAAAGCATAACGTCCCGGGTCCATCCACAGAAACTGGTTCCAAGGGTAAGTGGACCGTGGGTAGAGAGCCGAGTGCCCTCGGCCGGCGGCACTCAGACGCGTTGGTGTTCAGCCGTGGTAGCTCGCTGTCATCTCGGAGTGTGGGTTTTTCCTTTAGTCTCGTCGTGAGTCTGTTAAAACACCAATGTTCGTGTTCGGGGAAATCTCTCAGCATCGAGCTGTCTGTGACACTGCCTTCAATTTGTGCAAAAGGGGTGACACTCAGAAATGCCTGACTGTTAGATAAATATAGCCATGAGTTTATTTGGAATATAGTTCACACGCACGGACACGTGTTTACCACGTGTGAAAGTGCGTAGTTTCTGCGGAGCAGTCATTCCGAGTCTCCCTGGGGGTCTCACGGTCAGTAGACATCTGGCTGGTGGCTGTCACGTGCAGAAAGGAAAATGAGTCGATGACAGTGAAGAGGCCGTTTTTCCCGCGGGACTTCCCAGGACACCTCCCACGGGCCTGCCTGTCCTCCCCAGCCCTGAGCGTTTCCCAGTCTCGCTTGCCCGGGAAAAATTTCCCATTTTTTCCTGAGCCGGGGGAGGTCTTTTCTGTTTGCACCAGAGCTGGCGTTCCGCGGAAGTTGCCGGAGCGATACTCAGTGAGCTCGCTTCTGTAATGTGAGGGGCCGTGAGTGTGAGTGTGGCCAGTGGCCTCTGTGTCACTGGGGCCAGAGGTGTGGTTTCAGTGTCTCCTGCAGTGTCAGCGGGGCCGAGGGGCCACCCGGGGGCACCCGCAGTCTTTGGAGTCCACAGCTCAGACATGGGCGTTGCACCTTCACAGCACATCAGAGACACAACTGTCTTAATATGGCACTTAATGACATGTGAACACAGACATGATTTATATTTGCGTCAGCATGAACACTCATGTCGCTAACATGTAACATGAACTCTCTGACTGCAGTTTAATGGTGCTGTTTGTAACGATAGTCTGAGACACGCCCGAGGGGAGGCTGGGCAGCCGGGCCCCCCACGCTGAGGGCGCAGAAGCCAGTGAGGCGGACTCGGGGAAACACGGTCCAAAGGGGCGTTGAGAACGGAGGCCCCTTCCTTGCCGTTGCGTCTGAGAAGTTTTCCTGGGGAAGTTTTTTTAAATCGCACACTTCCGTGTGCGGTCAGCGAGGCCGCCACAGGCCTGTGCGGCTTGTGTCCCTCTGACCTGGAGACGCAGGTGTCACGTGAGGACTGCGGTGAGGTCACAGACGCCCAGTGTCCGTCACCGGCATCCCGAGTGAGGGTCCTGGAGTCTGCAGGGCCGCAGGGCCCTCGGCTGGCACTCAGACGCGTTCAGTGAGACAGACACGCACAGCCACCGAGCGGGGCCAGTGGGGCAGACGTGCGGGGCGTGGAGTTACAGCCTTGGTTCACTGAAGGGCCTCTGTCACGGGACTGGCCATCCCCCCGTGTGCCCTGCACCCGAAGGCGTGGCAGTGACACGCTCCCTGGCCCTCTCTGCGTGTCTGCCCCAGCCTTGGGGGCAGAGGGAGTCCGGTTAAGTGGCCGTGTGTTCAGATGAGGGGCGAGCCTGTGTCTCCGTGGCACTGGCACACGCGTGGGGGGCGCAGGGTCACGTGTGTTTTGGTGGCACGGGGGTTGGGCTCTCAGTTTGAGAAAAACAGGAGACTTCTCTTTTCTGTTTAGCGAACTCCATCAAGCAGAGAAGGCCCAGGCTGCTGCTGCCGGCCGCCGAGAAGGGCCCCGAGCACCCCGTCACCGTCCTCCGGGGGGACACGCTGCTGTTGGAGTGCTTCGCCGAAGGCCTGTGAGTGGCCCGTCCCGGCCGTCCCTGCCGCAGTGTAAACGGGGAGACGCCCGTGGGGGCTGCACGCACGGCCCGGTCACCTCCCCGTCCTCCTTCGGAGTGCGCTGCCGCACCTGCGGGGCACGCGGCTTCCACCCGACTCCCGGGTTCAGGCCAGGGCTGGGCCGGATTATAATTCCAGCGCTCTGTCAGTCCGGGGCAGCGTGAGCAGAGGCGGTGAGGACACCGTCCCCTGAGCTAAGTCTCTGGGTGTCCTCCTTGGAGCCCAGGGTCCCTCTCTGGGGTGCTGGTCTCACTCCCGCCTGCGGGCCGTGCGTGCTGCCCCCGCTTCCCGTTCCACCTGCCGCCCCTGCCCCCAAGGAGGTCCCTCCATGTAACTTCAGGGGGGTTCGCAGGAAAACGGAACCCCCGGACTCCCCCACCTGGAACAGAAGAACATGTTTCCGATCCTCCAACAAAAGCCCGAGAGGCTTCCCTGGGTCCATGTTCTTAAAAAGTAAATTGACTGGGGACATGCAGGTTTCAAGGGTACATTCCCACGACACATGGTCCGTGTATTCCATTGTGCATCCACCCCCCCAAAGTCAGGTACGTTTGTCACCCCGTGTGTCTTGAACTCGTCGCCCTTGTAAACAGGGTCACCTTCTGTGACCCTTGCTCAGGCAAGGGGGCCCTCGCCCGGCCTGCGTCCGCCAGGCGGTCCACCCCGGGCCCCAGCCTCCGCGGAGGGCCCCGGCTGCTGAGTTTGTCCGATCTGAGCTCGGGGCTCCTGGCAGCTGGGCATGTGGGTGGTGGGCGGGGTGTGGGAGGTGAAAGGTCACGGCCTTGCAAACTCAGTGTGTTTTCTGAGTGGGCAGCTTCCCGTTAGACCTGAGAGGTGGATTCTGGTGGCTTTATAGCCCCTGCACCTTGGGAGCGCCCCCTTCTGTCCGGGAGGGCCCTGGCTGGCCGGTCTGTCTAAACAAGCCCACGGGCGTCCACATACTGACCCGGAGATGGGGCCTCCCTCCTGGGGAGTCCGGTGTCCGCTGTGCGGGAAGGTGACTGTGTGGGGTTGGGGGACAGTCACGGTGGGAGCCACGGCCCTGCCTTCCAGTCACACGAGTTGGCCCTGGAGGAATGACGCCCTCACGGGGGTCACCGCCGTCTCTGAATTCATAGTCGGTATCCCCACGCGGTCAGTGATGTTGGGGACGCAGAGTGGTCCCTGAGATGGGACGACTCCCGGCCCCTGACGTGTGACTGAGGGCCCCACAGGTCCTGTGAGTCGGGGGGGCGGGGGCGTGTGGCCCGCAGTGGGGCCCGCAGACAGAGGGGAAGTCGGGCTGGACAGCGACCCGAACGAAACCCTGAGCCTTCCACGTAGTGTGTGCTTGTGTAGTAACACAAATTAAGCAACACAGTTTTCTTCTGATCGTCAGCGTTCAAATATTGTCAGTAAATCTTCCCTAAATTAAATAGAAAGAAAAAAGAACAAATTTGGTAAGGACGTGGCCGAGCCTACTCGCAGGAGTGTGGCTACACGGCCCCGGAGAAATGATGCTTTACGGTCGCTGATACTTATAACCATTCCTTCTCTTCTTCCAAGGGGTAGGTTTTAGAGGATTAGACTCATTTTCAAAGACTGGCAAAAAGCAAGCAAACACACACACAGAGCCTTTGCAGAGAGCGAATGCCAGCACCGTGAGAGCCCGGTTTGGGGGGAACCGGGTCCGGAGCAGCCTGCGACCTGGCGTGTTGCCGTTTTGACAGATGGGCCACAGGCAGGCCGTCCGCAGGCTCCGGGGAAGCACCTGTTCAGTGCGAGCTCGGGAAGCCGGGCGGTGCACTGGCTCGGCTCCTGCCCGCCCTCCCGCAGCGGTTCCGCTCTGGGGGCAGGACGTGCCTCTCGCGTGGGGTGAGAGAGCTCAGGCGTGTGCAGGTGGAAGGTCCTCCCCGTACCTGCAGTGGCTGTCTGCATCCGAGTGACTTAGCCACTGCCTGTCCGTGCCACCTGGGATCATCGGCTGGAAGGATAGTAAGCAATTCAGTGATTAACCGATAACTGATTAATTTGGCTACATGCGCAAATTCCGAGAATACACTATTAGGGACAGAGAAGGGTCGGCAAGAGCCCAGGGAACAGCACAGTACTCGGTGACAGAAAGGGCCCACTGAGAGCCAAGGCTGGGTCCGGGTGTGCCACCTGCCCGCCTGGGACCACAAGCCCATGAGTTAACTTCTCGGAGCCTTGTGGGAAAAGGGTTATAACAAGCCCCAACTTTAGAACCCACTCAGCACCTTTCACTTGTTAAAATGTTTTTTGTTGATAACAAAAAGAATATAGTGAGGGATAAAGAGCAGCATCAATAAAACTGGCAAGAAGGGGTTCCTTCCCCTCAGGGCCCGGCTGGAGGGGGCGGAGGACACGCCGCCGGTTCCACTCGGCCCATGTCATTGTCCCTAACGTCTGCATCACAGGGGCCCTGCTGCCTGCTTGTCTGGCTCCATCCCCACTCCCGTCCCCTTAGGAAGGAGGAGAGAGTGACGGCTTGTCCGTTTGGTCCTTCTGTTTACTTTCCGCTTTTCCCTGCATGTGTTTTGGGTGCGGCGTCCGGGCTTTCCCCGCCACGGCACAGGTTCCCTCCTCTGGGCCTCCCCGACCGGCTCCCCCCGGGCCGGCCACTCCTGGGCTCTCTGCTCTGAGCCATATTCTGGAGAATCAGCTTCCGCGGGGGTAGAGGGGTCCCACGGCCGCCCCCGGCTGACAGCGGGCTCTCTGCTACCCTGTCGTCCAGCCTCACGCAGGGGAGGGGGCTGTGACTTCAGGCCACTCCGGGTCGCCCACAGGGAGGCTGCACACTGGAAACAAACCTCGGGCTGTTTCCGTGCGTCTGTCCTTCATCCAGCCACCCCTGCCTGTCCCGCACGCAGGCCCTGCTGACGGAAGAGACAGGGTTTGGGGTGCAGCTGAAGGAGGTGGCGATGGCAGAGGCCTGAGCTGGCCCAGGGCGGTGTCGGGGACGAAGGGAAGCCACGAGGTCTGTCCCACGGGTTCGTCACATTTTATTTTAAAAGATGTTTGTCGCTTACTTATTGTTTTGCAGACCGACTCCACAGATCGAGTGGAAGAAAGTGGGAGGTGATCTACCAAAAGGAAGGGAAACCAAAGAAAATTACGGCAAGACCTTGAGGATAGAGAAGGTCTCCGACGAGGACCGAGGACGTTACCACTGCACGGCCACCAACTTCCTGGGGTCGGACACGCACGACTTCCACGTCACGGTCGAAGGTACGCTCGCCGCCCACGCTGGCACGTGTCTCCGTGTAACAGTTGTGCGGAGTTGCACGCACAGCACACCCACACACGTGTGAATGCAGGTGAGCTCCTCCCACGTCTGGCTGTACAGTGGGCCCTGCGCCTCCCACTTCCATCTGTCTGTGAGTCACTGCGCAGAGCCACAGAGGAGGGGACAGGTGACGAGGGAGACCTCACGCGCGGGACCCAGCGCCGACGGCTTCCAGGGCTTGTTCAGACAGCAGCTGAACAAGCTGGTCCCCCAGGTCAGCCATGGAGAGGGCCCTGCACTGGGTCCGGTCATGAGAGAAGGGACTTTGCCAGGGAAGGAAGGGTCACCGTGGGCCAGCCAGGCGTGGGCTGCGCTGCAGTCTGCCCTGAACGTGCTGCGTCCTCCACGACTTCGTGCCGCCGTCTGCGCCGCGGCTTCTTCCCCTGTGAAACGGGCGGGGCAGACAAAGCGCTGTCCGGGCTCTTTCCTGGACACCTGTCTGTTCTTTCCTGTCCACAGCCTGGGGCGAGGTGACATTCACAGGGTTGGTTGGGCGCAGTGACACCGCCTGTCTCTGGAACGGGCGAACAGGCGCAAACACACACAACACGGAGGCCCTCTCCCCGGAAACCTGAGCCTCGACCGCAGTGCCGTGCCGCTTGTAACGAGTAACGTGACGGTGCTTTGGGGCATCCCAGAAGGAAGCGGGTGGTGACTGGGCGGACGGAGGTCAGGGCCCCTCGTCGTAGTCGGGGAACTCAACGGACGCAGACCGTACCCCTGGGTCCGATCGCACCGAGGTCCTTGTACGAGGCCGTGCCCTGGGGTGATGCCTGGTGTGCAGGTCGTAGGCCCTGTGGTCTTCCTGTTGAAGGGAATCGTCCCTGTTGGCGTTTGGGGACTGGCGCTCTGGGGCTTCTGTCTGTATTCTGGTCAAGTTCACCTCTAAGGCCACAGTTTGCGTGAGGAACTCCCACGCCAATGCCCCCTGTGTCAGTCAGTGGGAGGAAATGAAGACTCAGACACTGGTGGAGCCTGGGGGGAACGGGACCCCGGGGCGGGGGTGTCACACTCCGTGCGCAGACACAGCAAGGCCAGTCGGGAGGAAGCCCACTGTGCACACAGAGACGGGCTGGTTCCCGCAGCGTCCGTCAGTCACGGAGGAGCTGGGAGAGGAAGGGCCGGAGAGGGCACGGGGTCTGCATTTGTGGTCACCGTCGGCGACCAGACCGTGTGGTCACCCCGGGCGCCGTCCCAGCACCAACACAGCCCGGGCGCCAGAGCCTCTGGTTGCCCGCTGCTCCGGCTGCGCGTTGCTGACTCCTGGAAACCCTTCCAGATGGCTGGAGCCGCGCTGCCGAGCGGAATATTTTAACAATCTGGCCACGGCTCCTCCACTGCAAGATCAGCGTTGAAAAGAATTGCAAGGGTTGCAAAAAAAAAAAGTCAAGGATGTAAAATCGATTACTCAGTTTGAAATGTTGATGTAGGACTCCAAAGAAATACAGGTTTCCTGAGCAAATTGTCCCCGCTATTCATAGAGCAGCTATTAGCACCATTGAGATGCAAATACTGTTTTTACTGGGAGCAGTTAATCCTTCCCCCTCAATGGGAAAGCGCCGACCGTGCCCTGGGCTGCGTGTCCCGGCAGCTGCCCCTCCCGAAGGCCCGCGAGGAGCCGCCGAGGAGGCTTGGCCTGTTTTGCGGGTGAGAACAGCGAACATACAGCCGTCATCAATCTCACGGGCGGGCCAGCGCCCTTTCATTCGGCCTTCTCCTGCCTTCCTGGACCTTCCTCTTTCCCTCCTTTTGTCTCTTGCTTGGAAACTCGCACCAGGGTCAGGAAGGGGGGCTGCTGCGAGCGCCGAGCCCTTCTGAAAGCCCCATTGTGCCACGGCCGCGCGTGCGCGGTGCGGTGCTCGGGCCCTCCGCCCGCTCCCCGCGCGTTCCCCGCGGCCCGCCCCGCACAGCCGGGCGCGGCGCGTCCAGCCAGGAAGGGCGGCTCTGGGGGCCTCTGGGTTTTCGGGGCCTGCGACCGACCTGCGGGGGCAGAACAGCAGGGGCCCCGGGGTTCGCAGCTCCGCTCTGCTCTCCAGGTTTCCGTGTGTGGCTGTGCTTATCTAGCTCAGAGCTCCAGTGACTGTGCACGAGTGCACGGCAAACACGAGTGAAAGCATGTCCTCACATGTTCACTATACATGCATCTGTCATGTCAACACAAGACCTATCCAAGTTGGTAGATGACATCTATGGGTTTGTCTGAGCCAAACTGACGACAACGGCCAGGAAGGGAACTCTCAAGGGACGGAGACGATGCCCCGGAGAAGGCAGTTTTGCAGCTTGTTTTACAGGTTAGAGTCAGAGGAGGCGGTGTGAGGGGTTACGTTCACCGGTGGGGGGAGAAGGGGGCGGGAGGAAGCAGAGCGGGAAACCCCCGGGTTGGACGCCGAGTGGAGTGGAGAGACGTGCGCCCCCTTCGCGTTGGCGAGCACTGACCGGTTAACGGTGAACGTTCACGGCACCTGGAGATGATGCGGGGACAGGATGATGACGACCAGGGGCTCTGGGGCCTGTGTCCCGGTGCCTGGCTGTCCCGCAGGGGCCTGGGCACGGGGTCCCTCTGGCGTCCCGGAGGCGTGTTATCAGATGCACGGAGACCGGGCACAGGCTCAGTCGGGGCGAAGGCCGACCTTGGTCAAGGGCGACACCTGCAGGCCTAGGTCGTGACCCCGCCCTGACCCGCTCGGAGTGCGGAAGTGTTCCTTTCAGACCGTCCTGGGTGGTCACTCTGGTCTCCGAGTCCCTGAGGCGTCGTGCAGGCCTCCCCTGAGCTTGTCGGGCTCAGTGCGTGGCCCCTTTTCGTCCGTATTTATATTTGTAACATGTAATTAATATATATTAAGTCTATAATTATTATAGGATAAATATAATACATTCTTATATAACTAATGTATAAGTACACTGATATATTAGTTATATCATTATGTATTACATTAATCATACATCTATTATATGTAAAGTATAATATATAAAGTCTAAAAGTTAATATAACTATATGAAAATGACACCTAAAACATGAGAAATTCAGTAATAAAAATATGACCCCAATCCCACTGAACTGATTATTTAAAAATACACCTCCCCCAATGATATCATAAACTTTTGAATCATTTAGGACTTTTGAAATTTTAATACTTCAAAAATTCATGGGGAATATTTAGTAATAAGAAGGTATTTATACCTACTTCTGTATCCATAGTTGTTTCGCCTTTTAAAAGGGGGTTTGTGAATTCAATGACATTCAGTCACTGAGGTGCTTAACAAAGCCGCGTGTTCAAATGACCAACCTGTTTCTAAAAGTGGCAGTCGAACCCAGGTCTGGAAAGCACACGGCCGTTTTCACTTATTCAGAATAGGCGTGTTGAATAGGAATCTGTTCCTGAAAAGCGGCCTGTGTGTTCAGTTGCGGGTGCCAAGTCTCCTTTCTAGTGGCAAACATCTCTACCGAACGCACCACACTCTGAACGTTCAGACGTTTGCCTCCAGAACGTGCTAGGTTCTCAGTAGAGATGCATTGTCATCTTAGTTCTAACTTACCGTTTTGGCAAAGGTTCCGGCGTCTGCAGTTTCCTCGGTTACCGCCGGTCTCAGGACAGTGCAGAAGCGACTGAGGCTCAGCAATGGCTTCTCCTGCAGCGTTTCACTCTTCAACCATCTGGGCCCTTCTCTCGTGCCTTCCTCCTCTTGTCACCGGCTCCTACCTCGTGGGAGCAGGGCCATAGGCTCTCGCTCTGGGGTGCATCCCCACTCTCTGCCTCGTGGGACCCCAGCCACACTGTGGCCGGGTCCTCAGCCTCCTGGGATGTTCTTTGTGAGCCACACGGGAGGCTGGAGGTTACAGGTGACTGGCCGTCACAGGGCCTCCCTGGTCCCGGCCTCCCCTCTCCTCCCTGGGCTGTGGTCCCTGGGGTCTCTGGGGACGCTCTGACCCGGGGCGTGTGAGCTGCAAGGTCCCGAAGGACCAGTAGTTGTGTGCACATGCGGTACTTCGATCCCATGGGCCCTGGCCCAGCACGTGTGTCTGCCCGTCCACACAGGCTTCTCCCTGTGATGAGCACCTCTAAGGCCTTCTCTCTCTCAGCAGCTTTCAGACACGTCACACAGTCCCCACAGTCCCCGTCCCCGCTGACCATCACGTCCCCGAATCCCTTCGCTTTTACACGCTCGGAGAGCTTTCCGATTGGAAGGTGATGGTTTTCGTGTCTGTGGGACTTTTACTCTCGGTCAAATATTTGATCATAAACGTGGTTTATGAAAAGACAAAAAAAAGTGAGGATGCCATAAAATGCGCACACCCATGCAAAAAAAAACAGAAGCCGTCACCTCAGGGAGAGGTACGCCGTTTATAATTTGACTATTACATTTTAAACTAAATATTTACAGGTTGTAGATTATGAATTCAGATCCTTAACTTGGGGTTTCAGTGTGAAGTTCATACACTGTGGAACAAATACCAAAGCACTTGAACTTGCCAGGATTTCTGGCATATTTTTGGTTTTCCTGATGAATTTATAGGTGTTTTTTTCATGTAGCCCCTTTCCCCTCCTTTACGTTGAAACAATGCTTAAATGAAAGTTTTCGTTTTCCATATCCATGTGGTTTAGAGAATTACCGTTTTTAACTAAAATGGAAATCTGAACGTCTCAGGGAAAATAAGCCAGCGGCACTTGATAGGGGTTAGTCCCTGCAGGAATCGTGCAGTTCTCCGACACCGGATTGTTCAAACCATCCGCACTCTACACCTCTGACTCGCTTCTGGCACGGCCCAGCGCTTCGGGCGACAGAACCCGGCCGTGGTGTTTGCGCTGCAGGCAGTGTCTCGTTCCGCACGGGGGCGCCCTCGGAGCGGCAGCACCACGGCACCGGGCACTGGAAGGTGCACGCCGCTTCCATGCTCACAGGGCAGAACGGAACCCGTAGTTTAGGCTCCCTGCCCCTTTTACAGAGAACTCTCCGGGAGATGGTGTTTCTCACATTCTTCCCCAGATAAACAGATACAGAAATTACGGAAGTGCTGAACACTGAAATCTTATTTAAAAACGCCTTTAATAGCAGCAGGCTTAAACCCTGGCTGCCACGTGGACGTGAGCGTGACCAGCGCTAAACACACGTGTCCCCACTCCCTTGTTTTCTGGTCCTGGGACAGACAGGCCCTCCTGCAGCTGAGTAGTGACCACAGATAGCTGAGTTCACTGAACTTCCCATCCCTGCTCAAAGCCCAAGAGAGGACACACGTGTGTGCACCCGCCCCCGCTCACACCCACGCACACATTCATGCTTGCACTCAGGTGCATGCCCACGTGCACTCCAACGCTAACATGCATGCACACTTGCCCAAGTGCAGGGCTTCACGGGACATTCTCCGCACACTGCCGGGAATCCCTGCCGTGTCTGCCACCTGGTGGAACGTCTCGGAAGCGCAGGCGGTGGCGTTTGCGGGCGTCCCAGCCTGGGCGACACCCCTGACGGCCCCCTTTGCCTTTGTTCCCAGAGCCCCCACGCTGGGTGAAGAAGCCGCAGAGCGGCGTGTACAGCACGGGGACCAGTGTCATCCTGTTGTGCGAGGCGGAAGGAGAGCCCAAGCCCACCATCCGTTGGAGAGTCAACGGCTTGCCCATCGAAGGTCAGTGCCCTTGCTGGGTGGGGGCTGCAGGGGCGGGGCTCTCCAGGAAGGAGAAGGGCGGGGCTCTCTGGAAGGGGCGGGGCTCTCTGGAAGGGGCGGGGCTCTCCGGGAGGGGCGGGGCTCCCCAGAAGGCAAGGGCAGGCACCTGCTGTGTCTGCAGGGAGCAGGTCTGCGCAGGGAGCGGAATCCGGCTCGCCACAGAGGCACGGTGGGTAGCGCACCCAACCTCGGCCTTGGAGGGCAGGCCCTGGCCCCTGCCACCCCGTCCTGGCTACAAGTCGTCCAGCCACGGGCCGGTGCGTTGAGTGAGGGTGGGCTGATGACTTGAGATCTCCGAGCTCCTGGAATCTCTTCTCCTTCCTCCATCCCACTCCACCACATCACAGTGGTCGCCGTAGGCCTCACTTTTACCGCGTTTTGGATCCGATATTACTGACAAGCCCGGCGGGGTGTAGAGCCGGTCCCCAGGAGCCGCTGAGTCCGAGCTGACGTTTCTCCCACGATGTGGCTTGCTGCCCATCGACACGATAAGACACATGAAGATAGGTTGATTGGTGACCCGGTGACATCATTTAAACTAAAATCTTAGCGTCTTTGCCCCTCACCCAGCACCCCAGCTAAGATGTTTTCCTTTGTACGGCACTGTCACAGCGAGGGCCGCTGGCGTGGTGCCAGGCACGAGGCCGGGCTGCGTCTCCTGCCCTCGCCGACACCCGTCTGCTCATCCACATGGCAGCCGTGGCAGTGCGGAGCCCGTGGGTTCTGAGACATCACCTGTGTGACGTCCACGGCCATCTTTGGTCCCTAACAAATGCACCCCAAGTGTTAAATACTGCTGCTTCCAGAATGTATTTCCAGAATTGTACTTGGGTGTGAGGTAGGATTTCTGCCACAAAGTAGGAAGCTGGGCCTGTTTTCTAAGCCCCTGGAGGTAAATGAGGTCTGAGAGCTACGCCCCTGAAGCGGTCAGACAGCGGACAGGGCTCTGAAGGAGGGAAGGACGAAGGGGGGAAGAGAGAGACACAGCAGCCAGGACTCACCGAGGGGCCGGTGCTGGGCCGCTGCAGGACCCACGCGAACCAGGGGCGGGGCCTCCGGTTCAGAGTGGGGCTCACCGGCGACCTTCCCTCTGGGCGGGGGTGCGGGGCAGCAGGGGGCTGAGGCGACTGGGCTTGGGCAGTAAGCACCCATGTGCGGACGCTGAAATTGCAGAGTCACAGTCGATGTTAGGAAATGCTGAAGAATTCGACACGGTGAACCACGAGTCACCCCGAACTGGTCTTAAAATGTAAATCCTATGGGGCACGTTTAATCAATGGTCGTTAAGTATTTCAGGTCCTTTAAAAATTTTTTTTAAAAACCAAACCGACACCCTTTAACCTCCTGCAGAAAACCCGTTTGCGGGCGACGTCATTTTCCCCGGGGAGGTGAGCTTCACCAACCTGCAGCCCAACCACTCGGCCGTGTACCAGTGCGAGGCCTCCAACGCGCACGGCACCGTCCTGGCCACCGCCAACGTCGACGTCATCGGTGCGTGTCCCGGGGCGGGGGGGTCCAGGCCGCACCCCGCAGCACTCTGAGTCCTGGACACACGAAACCCGGGGGCAAACGGGGCCCCTCTCCCCTCACCTTCGGGCCCCAGACTTGGCGCCCAAACCGGGCTTTTCCAGCGCGTGTTGCGTTCGGACGCGCTGCTCACCGGAGCGCAGCCCGTGGCCCCCGCTCCTTTCTGTTCTCACAGCACAAACGTGGCTGCATGAAGAGCGCGTTGGTTCGCACACGTTATTTCTCCCGTGACTTTCAAACAGATATCCCTCCGCTGATACAAACGGACGACGGAGAGGACTACGCCGCCGTGGTCGGGTCCAGCGTGTCCCTGCACTGCGACTTCTTCGCTTCGCCGCAGGCGGTGGTGTCCTGGTAAGTGGACCCCCGACCCTGCCCCCCATGGCGGTCAGCGCGGGGCCTCCCGGGCTCCTCCGTCCACCCTCCCGGGGCCGCCGGTTCCCGCCCGGCTGCCGTACCCGGTGCCTCGGAGAAACGGGGTCACCCACAGCTCCCCGGAGGCTGGGGCCCCACCTGCGGGGTGTGCGCACAGGGGGAAAGGTGGAGAGCCGTTCCTGCCCGCCCGGGGAAGCAGAGGATTGAGGAGGTTGTGGGTGGGGCCGGTGACTAGACAAAGCAGTTTCACTCTGGGTGCGTTCAAGGTGGGGCCTTCCTTGTTGATTTGTCTTAGACGAAGTTGAAATGATTGCCTACACCTGCATTTCATTCCAAACATGCATGAACCTTCCCCGGCACGCGCTTTGCACTGAATCGTGTTGATGGTGGGAGGGGCCCTGTTTGGTGGGCCTGGCGTGTTTGTGGCTTCAGGAGACGTGTGTGGGGTTCACGTGCTCCTCGGTCGTTCCTGCTGCTCCGAGGGGCCGTCGCTCACGTGTGGGGGCAGAGCCTGTCTTTCTGTGGCCTGCGGGGATGTGAACTCCTCCTGGAGTTTTACTGCATTGGTTTTGATTTTTAAACGCCCTCCGGAAGTAACTGAGGCTTTTGAAGGTTGAGTGATCTGCCCGCAGTGACGCAGCAGGTGTGTGGCCGACCCCAGTCACCACCAACAGCCCGGCCTTAGGGGTGAGGTGGACAGACCCCCCACATGCTCCTGGTGGGCGCCCACTCTCCTCGGTCCCAGACTGGCCAAGAGCAGGGCCCAGGCAGGGGTCCCACCTTGGGGCAGACTCAGCGGCGGGTGTCAGGGGCCGACCTGCAGCAGTGAAACACACTGGGGTCACTCTCTCCTTTGAGGGGGACGCGCGGGCCGGTGGTGCCGGTGGGCTTCCCGGGCTCGGCCGAGTCAGGCTGTGTTTTCAACTCTTTCGGTCTTTACTTCATAATAATTAAGTAAATAAGGCCTCCATTAAAATAGTGTCAGTATTGATTACTGGACTTTTTGGCGCCCTGGGAAATCCTGTGGGGACGGCAGGAGTCCTGTGAGATTCGAGCTTCGAGGCCACCCACTGGGACTTGTCCGGGATGTGGCTGCAAATGCCTGGAGACGGGGTACAGGCAGGGGAAGTGCCCCGGGGCTCACAGGGGTCGGCAGAATCCATGAACAGCGCAGGATGGACTCCGGGGCCAGGGGCCCCGGCTCCCACAGTGCAGCAGGGGGTGCCTAGGCGTCAGGACCACGTTCAAGGCAGCGCTTTCAGGCACAGTGCGCCACGGTGGTCCCGAGCAGAGGAGTCCCCAGCTGTGAGCCGGGAAGATGCACCGTTGTGCTCGGCACCCAGATGCCCGGCCCCACTGCTGGTTCAGAGCTGAGGCCCGGGGTGCGGACCCTGGTCCTCCAGGTGCCCTCTGTCGGGGCATATGAGATGGTCCCCTGTGACCCGTGGGAGCGTCGCAGAGGGTCGGCCAGGGCCCGGGAGAAGGGACGAGTGTGTGTGACCTGGGTGTGTGTCCGCTCTCACGGCCGCGTTGTCCTGTGCCTCTCTGTCCGCAGGCTGAGGGTGGAGGAGCCCAGGCCCGTCGAAGGCCCGCGGTACCACGTCCATGACAACGGCACCTTGCAGATCAGCAGGGCCACCGAAGAGGACGCCGGCTCCTACACCTGCTGGGTGGAAAACGCCAAGGGCAAGACCGCGGTCACGGCCAGTCTGGACATCCGAAGTACGTTTGCGTCGCCCTCCCTGTGCGCCGATCCCCCCGCGGGTCCAGCGGGTGTTTGTTTTCTCGCCTGAAGGTGGAGGGAGTGTGAGGCTCGCTAACACCTGTCTGCACGTCTGCAGACCCCGAGTCCGTCCAGAAGACCCCGCGAGAGCACAGGGCCTGCCCGCCCTTGCGGGGCCGGGGGGTGGGGGGAGCCGGCGAGGTCTGCTCGGGATGACTGGGACATCTGACCTGTCCTATTTGGGTGTTTCTGTCACTGTTCCAGGTCAATAACCAACTCAGCACATACTGTCACAAGTTACCGACTCTCTGAGCTAAAAGCGTCACAAGTAAATGTACAAAGTGCAGCTCCATAGTTGGGTCCAGTGGGCGAGGGGCTCGTCCTCTGAATGGGAAGCAGCCTCGTGCTTCTTGTCTGTTCAGGTCCTGGGGCCTCAGTAGTATTTTGATTCTAAAGTCGCTCAGGAAAACTTGGAGAAGAGGAGGGTGTCACACCACGTGAGGGCAGGGCGTGCTTTGGGGACCTGTCACAGGGCAGGTGTCCGTCTGTCACCTGGGCTCCCGACACCTTGGCGTTTCTCTCTCCCCAACCCACAGCACACACGTGGCTCCTCGCTCCCTCCCCTGCTCCCACTGGTTTCCTCCCCCTCCCTTCCGCTCCCCTCCGCTCCCCTGTGTTCCCATGTCTGTGTCCCCCTCGCCCTCGGTGGCCCGCCTGCACCCCCACAGGCTGCGTTTTTACCTAAGTATTCTCTTACTCGCGGTGTCCCCCTCGCCCTGCGTCTGTCTGCGTCACACAGCCTCACGTGCGGTTTCACAGAATGCCCTTCGGAGTCAGGAGGACGCCTCTCTTTGCTTCACGAAGCCAGACTACCTGCAGGGGGAGTTACCCTGCCAGGTTCAACGTCAGTGAGGGTGAAGCCCTTCACAGGACCCTCCCAGCCCAGTGCCCCCCGCCCCCCGCGCCGGCCCCCGGGGACCTCACACTGCAGCTCGCCAGAGAGACGGTCAAGTCCAGGAATGTCGTCCATCTGCCCCGATGGCCGTTTTACGACGTGTCAGGGCCACGCAGGGGCCATACCAGTGCAGAGTTAAGGATGCCGATGGCATTTAAGGAGGCACGTGAAGGACGGGGCTGGATGGGAGGTGACACAGCACAGTGGTTAAAGGCGTGAGCTTTGGTCTCTGACAGGCTGGGGTTCAAACCCTCGCTCGGCCCTTCACCAGCAGGAAGCTCTGGTGCCGGTCACTCTTCTATTATTTTCTCCGCACGGCGGACACACCTGCATTCGTCGAGCCCTTAGCATTAGGAGCTGTCACAGTGGGACCACCTCAGCGGAGCAGGTGCTGTTATAGGGCGTCTGTCCTTCTGTCATTAGTACCCGGGCTTCTGACTTGGAACTTCCAGGTAGGAGGCGGGTGTTTGATAACTCACCGCAAGCTAATCCAGCCCGGCAGCCCCCGCGTTCTGAGCCTGGGCGACCAAATCGCCAAGTTGTCAGCACCTGCCTCTTAGTCAGTTCCGTCAGTGACGGTCAGGACAGAGCTGTGGGGTGGGGGGCGGCGCCGGGGGCCACGCCCTGCCCCTTCCGTGTGGCCCTGGAGAGGAGGGTTCGCGCTTTGAAACCGTCAGAGGGAAGAAGCACTTTCCCAGGAAGCCACGGTGCCCGTGTTTGAGCGTCAGGTTGTGGTTACTAGTGATTTACAAGTAAAAAGACCGTTAAAGCTGTTTACCTGACATTTTAAATTTGCTCAGGAGTATTTAGGATGCACAGTATAACCTTGCCCACCACCACCCAGCCTCAACAATGACCGGTTCACGGCCAATGTCACTGACCTGTACCTACACCCACTTCCCTTCTCCTAGACGTTTTTTCTTTTTTAACTAGACTTTCCACTCAGCATTATATCAGTTCCGGTGCAGCACAGTGGCCAGACGGCCGTGCCCTGTGTCAATCACGAGCCCCTGGTGTCCCCAGTCCCCACCCGGCACCACATGTGGCCCTCACCACGTCACCGGCTGTGTTCCCCCTGTGGTCCCTTACTTTCCGTGACTGTTCCCAGGCTGCCATCTGTGTTTTTTAATCCCCTCCCCCACTAATTCACTTCTAAATGTGGCTTCTGAAAACCCCACGAGCGTGCACGGGGTGCCTACTGTGTACATCAGTGCAGCAGAACAGGCCCGCGGGGACCCCAGGCCCAGAGCCCCGGCAGGAGAGGCCAGGCCATCTCTGTTGCCGAGAGGCGTTGGTTTGTTTGCTCGGCTCCTGGAGCCCAGGAAGCAGGCCACTCGCTGAGGCACTGCCCCTGCCCCTGGGCTCACTCTGCGTGTGGGCTTTGTCGGACGCCCAGGCCCAGGTGGACAGAAGCAGAAGTGACCCGTGGGGGTTTGGATGTCGCCATGGCGGCACCACTGAGATGGAGCTGTCCCGCCCGATGCCGTGGCGGGCTGAACCGCAGACTCGTGGCAACAGTGTGAGCTCCGCCGTTCTGACCCGTGTGCTTGTTTGGTTAAAACAGAGGCCACGACCGTCCGGGTCTCTCCCGAGAACCCGCGCGTCCCCCGATCACACACGCTCGAGCTGCACTGTGAGAGCCACTGCGACCCACACCTGGCGCCGAGTCTGACGCTGGCCTGGAGCAAAGATGGGGACGCCCTGCCGGCCAATGGCACCGAGGACGGCAGGTGGGCAGCGCTGGCGCGGGGACAGGTGTGACAGTGTGTACGGTGGGCTCGGACGCGGAGGGGCCCTCGGGGGCAGCCGGGCCCTGCCTCACCCTCCCACCCCTCCCCCGGGTTCACCCCGTTTTCATGACCCACTTTCCCTGTCACTTAGGCCATCCTGCTTGTAGAGAACAAAGTCGCTGCAGGTGCCTGAGGCTCGTTTCCGGCCACAGGGCTCACGGAATCGTGGAGATGATCCCAAAGGGGCCGCTCCCTGAAATTCTGGGTTCTCAGGACCCAGCCTCGGGGGCGGTGCCGGCATGTGCAAACCTGGGCCGTTTTCACAGCTGCCCCAGCCTGCTCTGCGCCCAGCCCCCAAAGCCCCACCATCCCCTGCCCCCTCCTGAGGGGATGGCGACCTCCCACTTTTGCCTCCACCGCCCACTGAGTCAGCCTCTCTGGCAGGACCTGAGCCTGCTGGGGACCGGTCCTGCTGGCGGGCGCTGGCGCCTTCCCGCCCATGTGCACGGGTGCAGCAGAAACACAGGGGGGCGTGGGGAGGAAAGCGGGGGCGGGCGGGTGCAGAGTAGCACCAGAGGGTGTGAGGGGCACTGGGGAAAGTGGGCCACGCCCCACCCCCAAGTGCCTGGCTGCATTGGGCAGCCTGCGGGCAGGTGCTCCTCCCTCCCGCGGGTGTCTGAGCTGGGGCGGGAGGCGGAGCCTGGCTGGGGCGGGCAATGTGCTCACTGTCCTTCACCCAGGAAGTTGGCCTGTTCAGAGGGGTCGGTGTGTGCCGTGCCCTGGGACGTGCCAGGTGGGCACAGGGGTAACGTGACCTGGAAGCGAATTCAGAATTCGTGTTGGAGCCTCCTCACACTGACATGGGGGCAGAGCCAGGGAAGCAGGGGTGGCCCATCAGGTCACTGGTGTAGGACCGGAGGCCCTGTGGTGTCTCCTCAACTGCAGGACATCGTGAGGCACTTTTCTACATTCAGTCTTCTCAGCGGCTCATGGGGGTCTCACAGCAAGACCCCGTGTTACCGAGGTTTCTCTGTGCACACGGATGGTGTCGTGTGTTTAAACTAAACATAAACTAACAGCACACTGCTGTGCGTGTATTTCACATGCAAAGATACTTGAACAGTCACGCCAACAGTGTACAGCTGTGGTAGGAGTCATAATTTATATAAAAGTTGCTCATCTAGCGAACTCAGTTGCAAGCTGGCCAAAATAGAAGGCAGAAAGAAGCGCCCTGCAGGTGACCTGCGAGAGCAGGGCTGGTCTGCCCCCTGGTGTTCAGAGAGACGCCTCGGGACATCAGTGTGCGGTCTGCTTGGGCGTGGAGGGCGGAGAAGGGAAGCAGGTCCAAACAGGGACTGGCCGACCCGTCCGGGACACGCTGGCTCTGTGTGGCTGGGATTGACTGCCAGTCTCTGTGTGCTGGGTGGCGGGCGTTGTCCAGGCCTGACGCAGCTGTGGGAAGGCAGGCGCCCTCCACGGTGCACCTGGGCATGTGGGCCGTCACTGAGCCTGGCCCTGCCCGGGGTTGGGCTTGGCCGTGAGAAGCAAACAGAACGGTTCCCTTCCGGGCTGTGCAGACACGTGCCTGCCGGAGTGACACTCTCATCCCGGCCTTCAGCCTCGGCCTCCTCGGTGCAGTGTGTGTGACGCAAGGCGGTTTTCCACGGGGAGACGCAGTTTGAAAGGGTCGCCTCTGTTGTGGGGGCCGTTTCTTCCTCGTCACGCGCTCCCCTCGCCCCTGCAGGGTGGTCCTGGACGGGGCTCGCCTGACCCTCTCCAACGTCACGCCGGAGGACCAGGGCGTGTACTCCTGCGCAGCCCGCACGGCTCTCGACAGCGTGGCCGACAGAACTCACGTGACGGTCCTGGGTGAGTGGCCCCGCCGTGGGAAGCATGTCTGTCCCTCCCCTGCTGTCCGTTGGGTTCAGGCAGCGGCTGTTTGAGCCCCTGCACATGTATTACTGGTCTGAGTTTTCAGTTAAGGAGTAACCCCACCTTCTGCTCCCTCCGAAGGAGCTAGTGAATGCTAATCTCCTGTCCCTCCACGGGAACCAGCGCCAGCACTGGGAGACAGGAGGTGCTGCCGGCCAAGACCCGGCGCCCTGGGGCTGTGGGCTGCCCCTCCCCTCCCAGAGCGCAGAGGCGAGGCTACTGTGGGGTGCGAGGACCCAGGGGTAGGGGCTGAGTCCCTGGGACTCCAGAAGTGGGGGGGCTGCAAATCCTCTGCAAGGTGACGCCTGTCATTTAGCTTTCCAGTGACAACACTGATTGGAATGCAGGCGCACCCTGACTGTGCTGGTGGGCAGCTGCCCAAGTTCACTCCTGGGGGGAGCTCAGGGACCGCCCGCAGGCCCCTGCTGGCCTCCCTGAGTGGTGCGCCATCTGTGACCAGAACCGGAGGGGACGCGGCCCGGAGAGGAGGGGCTGGCCGTGGCCCTGAGCCTGCGTGTCTCACCCTCTGCCTCCAGATGTCCCTGACCCACCAGAAAACCTGCGCTTGTCGGAGCGGCAGAACCGGAGCGTGCGGCTGGCCTGGGACTCGGGGGACAGCCACAACAGCAACGTCACTGGTAGGGACGGCCGGCCCGGGCCCTTCCTCAGACGGTCACTGAAAGGTTCCGCGCCGTGCCCACGTCCCCCTGTGACATGAACGCGCTCGTTTCCCCCCACAGAGTACATCGTGGAGTTCGAAGGAGACAAGGAGGCACCCGGCAGGTGGGCGGCGCTGACCACGGTCGGCGGGGAGGGGACCTCGGTCCTGCTCCCGCTGGCTCCGTACGTGAGGTACCGATTCAGGGTCATCGCCGTGAACGAAGTGGGCAGGAGCCGCCCCAGCAGGCCTTCCGACCACCACGAGACGCCGCCGGCAGGTGGGTCACAGGCTTCACCGCCCTGTGTCCAGGCCAGGGTGTTAGTCTTGCCTTTCTTTGACTTTGTCTTTGAAAAGAACCGGTCTAGGGCCTCAGATTTCCCAATGCAGAGCTCGAGACCTGGTGTGAATGAACAGCGCACCACATGTTCAAATCCTACCAGAGTCATTAAGAATCACACAGATGCTGGGTGCAGGGCGCAGGTCAGCGGGCAGGGGCGGAGTGACCTCTGAGCGACCTCTGGTGGCTAGAGGTCACGTTGAAATGAGATAGAAAGGGGGTTCCGAAGTTCCATATGGAGAGACAGAGTCAGGGATTGCACTTTCTGAGATAAAACTGTGACTCGTGGGAGGCGCCTGGGTGAATCTGCAGTGTAACGAGCGTCATTGGTGTCAAGCATCTGGCTCATTTTGGTCTCTCAGCATCTCCCTAAATTCCCAAGACACATTCCTCATACTGAAGGATGGCAGTGCTCACGTTTGTGAGTGGCCAAGTGGGCGCTGGTCGTGGGCGTGGCTGTGACACGGGGACATGTACCCCGCTGAAGCACATTCGCTGGCTGTCCCTCCCCTTCGGCTGAGAAAAGTCGAGCACCAGTCCAAACTGAGTCAGATACTCGGGTGATGCGAACCGCAGCTGAACTTGGCGCCGAACTTGGCGCTCAGGTGGTTCTCATAAAATAGACCCGTCTCCGTGTGTCCGGGACACGACGCCGGCCGCTCCCGGCTGTTGGTGTTGGTGCCTGGTGTGTGAGCTCATCGGCTGAGAGGTAGATGTTCACGGCGTGAATTCCTAATGGTAATTGTGGCAGAAAAAGTAAAGCAGGCTCAGATGAAAACGTATCTTTTTAAAAGTAGGATTATGATTTTAAAGTTCACATTTTAAATGTAAAGAGCAGGTTTAAAATTGACACAGATGTACCGTCTACTGCCCACGAGACTTCAGGAACACTACTTCACTCCTTCAGATAGAATACTTTAGGCAACCGTATTCGAGGGGGTGGATGTGTTGACCGATCTGGTGGTGATCACTTCCCAGCGCACACCTGTGGTGTCGAACGTACGGCCACATGTGTGTACACACTGACCTCGAGTCATGGCGCTGTGTGCCTGAAACGTACACAATGCTCTGTGTGAATTACATCTCAGGGACGCCGTCTTAAATCTTCTTGGGAACCCAGTGTGACAGAAATTAATATATATGTCAAAGTCATTCAAGCATATTTTTCCAGGAGTGTCCATATGATTTGCGTGCGGACCCCACGGTGGGAGAAGCACCATTAATGCCTCTTGTTTTCCAGCTCCAGACAAGAATCCGCGGAACATAAGGGTCCAGGCCTCTCAGCCCAAGGAAATGATCATAAAGTGGGAGGTGCGTGTTCTTTCACATTTTTCTTTGTGGCCTTTTCTCTTTCTTTTAGCTTTGTTTGTGAGCATGATGATAGAACAGTGTTTTTAAGCAAAAGGAGAGCAGCTCTCCCATGTGACGCTATTCCACTTTATAAGTGTGTTTCACTGGCGCGTTTTGAGGTCACTGGGGTTCCAGAGTTGTGGGATGGGGTTCTGCGGTGGTGACCAGTGAGAGAGGGTTCAGGCTGGTTTAATTACACTCCGTTGCCGAAGGTTTCCGACCCCCGACACGTCCACAGCCAGTGTTCTGAGCTTTCTCCCACTCGAGCGGCACCGAAAACCTTAACCTTGCACTTCAGTCAGGCGTGTGGTCCGTTACACGTTACGGACACCCAAGGGACGGCTCCTGAGTAACGGTCAGCACCCCCGGCAACCCCGCCCTTCCGCACACTTACACCGAACCCCGGGGCCGGCCTGCTCTGGACAGCGCCAGCTCCGTGCTCGGGTCACAGACGGGGCCCCGGCGGGTGGCCTGTCTTCCCGTCACCACACCGGCTACGCTCTGACCTGGGTGTCCTTGGACACTCCCCCGTGTCCCTGTGAAAGGTTATTAAATAGGCTTTTCTCTTTAAGTGAAAAAAGGGGAGCCCCTGACCCCCTGACTCTGGGCCCTACTCGGGAGCTTGCCGAGGCTCCATCGGCCACCGTCTGAAACCACGTGCAGAGGGCTCCTGGCGCCCATGTCCTCGGGTTCACGTGCCAAGGAGGCCGCCTGTGCCGGTCCGGTCTCTCTTCAATGTGTTCCCAACTCCGCACGATTCCTTTTACCGTTTGCCAGAGAGCTCTAGCCAAGGCGAGCTGAAGCCCTCTGGCAAATGCACAAGCTGGGTAACGTTCCTGTGCCCAGGGGCTGCGCTCGGGCGGAGGACAGTGCGGCTGCCGAGCACAGCGGGGAACTGGAACCGGAGTCACCGGGTCCCTGGGGGATTTGCACCCGAGGGCAGTAAAACTTCCCGGTGACTGCAGGTGTGACCCATTGCTGTGGGGTCTCTCAGGGTTTTGTTTTGCTTTGTGTTTTTCTTCTTTTTTTGTCTGCTAACTAGTATAAGCACTCCCTTTGGAATAAATAACTTGAAGTTATTTTGTTGGTATAACACTGTGTTTTCAGTTTAATTCCAACCAATGCCTCCAGTGAGGGCTTTAGTAAATCAGGTGGAGTTGAGAGATTGCAAATTCTGCAGGAGCAGGGTGTATGCAGTGACACTCTCGAGTGACTCACGTGCACGGACGAAGGCACCGTCTGTGGAAGTGAGCCCTGCAGTCTGGGACTGAAGTCACAGTTTAGTTTACTTTGCAGGACGGATTCATTCAGAGGCACATTCCCATGTTTGCGAAATGAACAGGGTGGTTCAGGTCACGTCGGTGTTTGGTGACTGCAAGCCTTGCTCAGTCGGAGACGAGCCCAGAAATAAGCCATCTCTGTACCAGAAACGCCAGCACCAAATACTCCTGTGCAGTGAAATAAAGTGTGTTCTGGGGGGAGGTTCTTAGAGAAATAGTAACGAAAGAGCCGGGGAGCCGGGACATTGTTCTGTTACTGAGAGGAGCTACCTCTTCTGCATATTCTCTGAACATGATTCATCTCTGTTTTTCTCTTGGAAAGAAGGTGCAGAAGGTCGGGGGAGGGGAGGGTTTTGATGGAAAGCCAGTGGAAAGTCCACTCACGGCTATGGGACCCACGTCCAAGGGACCCACTTCCATGTCCACAGCCTCCCCGGGCCTGTGGGCCAGATGGGAAGGGGAGACACGGGCTGAAGCCTGTGTGGGATGTCTTAGTAGATTCTTACGAAAAGTGAGACTTGACCCCAGGAGTGGTGTTCAGCCTGTTCCCGAGTGAAGCGGGGCCAGCCCCCCTCGAGGCCGGCCATCCCTCTGTTCAGCCATCACACTGCCCTGACCCTGCGTGTCCCCCTCTCTGATGCCTCCCGCCCCCGTTCCAGCCCCTGAAGCCTGTGGAGCAGAACGGCCCGGGTCTGGAGTACCGTGTGGCCTGGCGGCCGCAGGGCACATCCGCCGAGTGGGAGGAGGAGACGGTGCGGGAGCACAGCCTGCGAGTGATGACGCCGGCGGTGTACGCCCCCTACGACGTGCGGGTGCAAGCCGTCAACCGCCTGGGCGCCGGCCCCGAGCCGCGGCCCGTGACCCTGTATTCGGGCGAGGACTGTAAGTGGCGCAACAGCCCCGTGCGCTTGGGACCGTGGCCCTCGTGTGGGTCGAGTCCCCGTCCACGCTGTGTCCAGGTCCCCTGGCGCCAATTGGTGCGCGCTCGCCCTGGGCCATGTGGGGAGGGCAGCGTGGGCCTCTCCCTGGAGGGCGGGCGGCGGGACGTGGCCCGTGCAGGCGGAATAGGGAGGGGGGTGTGGGGGCTTCCAGTTCTTCCCCGATAAAGCGGTTTCCGTGTCGAGGCCAAAGGCTTGGCGTGTCCCTGCGGTGGGCGGGGCAGTGTGACGTCTGCAGTTTCCAGCGCCTTTGCCCTCCCCCGTGGAAGCCCCCCGAACGCTGGGCCCGCCCTGGCCGTCTGGCCTGTCTGAGCGATTCCCCCAGTGTGGGGCACAGCCCGGTGTTTGCTCAGGAGCAGAGCATACACGTGCACATGTGTGTGCATACTCACACATGTGCACACAGAGTTTTGAGGAGCTGGTGGCGGGGTCGTACCGTTAAACACCCACATTGCGTGCATCCTGCCGATGGCTCGTGGGAGCAGGGCCTGACCCTGCCCTCCGCCGCCCTCCCAGGGCCCAGAGCGACGCTTTCCTCCCAGACTAGGAGGTCGAGGGTGGGAACCCCCTCCCCGTCCCTTTCCCACCCGCCATCTGAACTTTCTATCCGAACTCGACAGAGTGTCCGAGGGTCCTGTGGGCTGGTCCAGCTGGGCCCTTGGGCAGCACCTGAGGTGCAGCCGGGGTCAGCTAGTGTCCACTGCTGTCCCTGACGTTAGTTTACTGACGTTCCGGATTTTGGTTATGGCACCGGTGAAGTTCACGTGCCGCCAAAGGCAGCGGCCCCCGGAGAGTCGCCAGGCCTGCCTCGGAGGTTCAGTCAACAGGGCTGAGGGGCTCCCTTCTCTGAGAAACCCCCGTGGGCCAGGACGCCCCTTGGGGGGACCCAGCTCCAAGCAGTGCTTCTGTGTGACCACGTGACGAGTCAGCCTCTGAAGAGGGTGGGTGGCCACTGAAAGCTGCCCATCCTCTCCCGCTCCACAGACCCCGACGCAGCCCCGGTGGTGCAGGGGGTAGACGTCCTGAACAGCACGCTGGTCAGAGTCACGTGGTCCTCCGTGCCCAAGGACAGAGTCCACGGACAGCTGAGAGGATACCAGGTCTCTGTCCCGGTTTCCCTCCTCACGGGATGGTGTCTCGCATGGGCGAGGCTTCCAGGCCCTGGGCGGGGGCTCAGTGGGTCGGCACATTGTTCCATAGACCGAAAGGTTGCGGGTTCGATCCCCAGTCAGTGCATGTATGGGGGTGACCAGTGAGTGTTTCTCTTTCACATCGATGTCTCTCTCTTCCTTCCTCTTTCTGTAAAATCAATAGTCTTATCTTTAAGGGAAGCTTTAAAACACTAAACACCTGAAAAAGGACTGCTTCCAGAAGCAGCCGAAAGAGCCTCTGGCCCCGGGGCCGTGCGGTAAAGGCTCCCGTCCCTGCTGCAGGTCACCTGGTGGCAGACCCGGAGCCTGCTGGACGGCCGGCCACTCCCCAAGGAGGCGCGCTCGCTGCGGTTCCCGGGACAGAGGGGCTCCGGCATGCTGCCCGCGCTCCAGGCCTTCAGCGAGTTCCGCCTCACCGTCCTGGCCTACAACTCCAAGGGCGCCGGGCCCGAGAGCGAGCCGTACACCTTCCAGACGCCGGAGGGAGGTGCGGGGGGCCGGGCGGGCCCTGGGAGTCAGCGTCTCGACCTCCACGAAGCGCTACGGCCACAGGGGCCTCGGGTGTTTGCTGTAGAAACGGCTCCAGCGGGGCCTCTCTCCTGGGTCTTGTTTTCCAGTTCCCGAGCAGCCTGCGTTCCTGAAGGTCCTCAAGGTCGACCGAGACTCGGCCACAGTGGCCTGGGGGCTGCCCGAGAACCTGAATGGCAACCTGGTCGGCTTTCTGCTGCAGTACCAGACCAGTGCGTGGGAGCGGGGGGTGGGCCCCGTCGGGATGTCCCTGTTTTTTTGGGAGTGGGCTGGCTCTGTCTGACCCAGGGGCGCGGCTGCCGTGGGGCCCACCTCCCCGCAGCCTGGGCTCCGCACCCCAGGTCGGAGGTGCAGCGGGCCACCGCCTGTTTTATATAAAGCAGTTTTCTGGGCACACAGCCATGCCCGTGTCTGTCTGTCTGTCCATAGCTGTTGGTCACTACAGAGTCCGAGGGGAGTAGTTAGGTAGAGGCTGCGTGGCCACCAGGGCCCACAGATTTACAGTCCAGTGCTTTCCTGGGAGGTTTGCCACTCTGTGTTTTAGTGAGAGGAGCCCACCAGGGGGCGCCAGAGACCGTGGTCACTGCTCCTTTGTGCCAGACCGGGAGCCGGTGGCTGGTGGGGGTCCAGGCGAGGGGTCCCGTCCTGCTGGGCTCAGTTTCCCTACCCACGGCCGTGATTCGGGCCTCCTGGAGCCAGCCAGGGCCGATAGCTACCGCTGCGCCGGGGCCTGGCACACCAGGGGCACCGACATGGGGGCAGGCGGCTGAGTGACGGGAGCTGAGCCAGGCGGCGCTGTCCTCTGTCCTCAGTAAACGACACGGAGGAGATCGGGGAGCTGCACACCGTCAACCTCACCGCTCCGGCCACGCCCAGCTGGCGCCTGTCGGGCCTGCTCGCCAGCACCAAGTACAAGCTGTACCTGCAGGCGTGCACGGCCCGGGGCTGCGGCAAGGCCGTCACGGAGGAGACCGCCACGCTGGGGGATGGCGGTAAGTCTGGGCGAGGGGCCGGGGGCCGCCATAGGGGTGCGCTGTGGGGATGACGTGACCTCAGTCCGTCCGCCCTCTGGACACAGACTGTATTTACCGAGTTTGTGAAGTTGTCGGTTTGCACACAGCAGCCATCCAGGTGGCCTCGGCACACAGGGCCGGCAACCGCAATGTCACTTTCCTGAAACAGGGAACGGCCGGCCGTACAGCGGCCCCTAAGGGGGAAGGAGGATGTCTCCTTTCGGGAACGTCCCCTCACAGAAGCGGGGCCTCTGCCCGGGCAGACAGAGTGCCGCCCCGGCCCACCTGTCCGTTCCTTTTCCTGCCCAGCAGTTGGCACCCAGCCTCCGACTTGAAAATGGCGAACGAATCTGCTTTCATCCGCTCCATTTTTCCCATTCAATTGCACTTTTTCTCCAACTCAGAACCTCTTTCCTCCCCATGTTCTTTCTCCAGCTAGTGTGTCAGCGGTGCGTCCACCCAGCCTCCCTCAGTACCAGGAGGAGAGAGAGACCAGGGAGCAGGAAAAACCCACCAGAGGGCAGAGGGGGCCTCGCGGGAGCTCCCTGCTGATCGGCCCCGGGGGGTGTTTGTGGTGGGAAGCAGGGAGCGGCAGGGGGGCCTTTATTCGGACCAGGGGGTGTGCAGGCATCTTCTCTGATCATCGTCTGGGTGTCCCACTCTCTGGCTTCAGGGCCTAAGAGGGAGGGGACAGCGGGGGTGGGGTGGGGGGGGAGTCGGATGCTCCTCGAGTTGCATTTGCTGGTTTGAATGAAACGCTTGCTTCGCTCCAGTTTTCAGCAGCTCCTGCTCCTTAACCTCCTGTTAGTGCTTCTGCCGCCCAAGGTCAGACCCGGCCGCCTCCTTCGCCAGCGGCCTCGGTCTCGATGGCTCCGCTCCGCTCCTGTAACCGGCCTTGTGCTTCCTGGCAGTGGGGCCCTTCCATGATCAGAAAGCCTGTGCTCCGCTTCTGGTCTGGAATGTAACACGCGACCAGTTCCGTGACCCCTAGTGCTCTCCACACGGGGATCTTGTTTCCGTATAAAGTAATGTTTCCTGGTTTTCATTTATTCTGATGAGTTGATTCTTAGCAATGTAGCTAAGAAAGTATTTTAGGTATTTTTTTGCAAGATCATACATTAAATGTCACTCTTAATTCCCCTCGACTCATATTTTTATCTGCAACTGAGACTTTTTCCGTGAACACAAGTGCGTGTCCCTGTGTTTTGGGACGTGTCCTTTCTCAGAACGCTTCCCGACCCCGTGCGGTCCTCCCCCTGCGCCTGTAAACCTGTGCTTGGTGCGGCTCAGGGGCCTGCGAATGTCCCACATTTGACCGCGACTGTGCCCTGACCCACACCACCAGTGTCCATGGGGGGAGCCCAAAGATGGCCCATGGTTCGGCAGGCACGCAGTGGCCCCGCTCAGTCCCCCACTAGGTTTGTCCAAGTCCGTGTGACGCAGGATGACGTCCGCGCTGGGCCCTGAACCCCCACAGGGCCGGGTGTACCTGCAGGGCCGTTCACTCGCCTGCATGTCCCCCACATGGGGCCCGAGTGAGGTTCACCGCACTCGCCCAGTTTCTGCACGTTAAGAGAGAAAACCTGAAATGTTGACGTTCTTGATCTCCTGACCATCCAGGGACTGTCTGAGGACACAGGGCCACGCGCAGCTCTGGCTGTCTCCCGCGACTTTCCTGCTTTTCTGTGATCACGACCTCTGTGCTTTTGCTGTGTGCGTTTCTCAGGCAAAGGGACCGGGAAGATCTCAGAAGGAGTCAATGTCACTCAGAAGGGTCACCTGCTAGAGGCCCTCCCTGCGCCCGGAGCCGAGCCCGTGGTGCGCCTCCTGACTAAGACCTGGGTGGATAACAATAGCATTTTTGAAGATGTGGTTGAGGCGAGAGGGAGAGGTGAGGAGTGGGGTCTCGTGGGGCAGCCTCAGCCGGTCCCCGTGTCCCCAGTGTACAGGGCGTGGTTGTCCTCACTCCCTGTGTCAAAGGCAACAACACGCAGAACGTTAGCTAGAGAAGAGCAGCCTCGATTTGTTTCGGCATAGTTTCCAAAAATCCAAACGAACACGCTCCGCCAAGGTCCTCTTTCCTTTATTGCTTCTGTCGCAATAGCTGCCTAGAGCCGTCTCCTGCGTATTAACGCCCGTCAATAACAAGAGCTAAACAGAAAAGCCAAGCACGTGAGGAAGCCCGGAGTGGCCACGGCGACCTCCAGTAACCCCGGCAGCTTCTGCTTGCGCTTCTGTTGTGTGTGTTGAACTTGACCTCCTGCCCTGCCCTTTCTGGTTCTCGGTCAAGAACGAGTGTTTGTCGGGGCCCCTCTCCCTGTCCTCAGGGTCCCCTTCCTCTGGGGTCACTTGAAGGAGAACCGAAGCCGATGCTCTTTTGTGCGTTTAGAAATGACGTGTAATTTTCCCCGAGGCGGGTGACTCCCGAGGGCTCAGGGTGTGGCTTCTCTGTGCGGCAGAGTACGCTGGCTCCTACGAGGACCTCGCCACGCAGGGCTGGTTCATCGGGCTGCTGTGCGCCGTCGCCGCCCTCACGCTCATCCTGCTGACCGTGTGCTTCGTGAAGAGGAACCGCGGCGGGAAGTACTCAGGTAGCGTCCTTGGCGTGAGGTCTCCTGGGGCAGCGCCGGCCCTGGGGATAGCCTGGGGGGCCTCTCACAGGCAAGTGGTGTGGATGGGGGAGCCCCCCGAAACAGACTGTCTGTGAAAAACTGGTTACTTATTCTTATGTGTTTAAATTTGGGTTGCTTTCAAAGTCCTCTTCGTTTAACACGACACACCTGCTGAGACATTTTCCCTGCTTCCAGCACAGTGTCTGAACGCGTCGATTTTGATGCCTTTTCGTGCTTCTGCCGTTTTTTGTTTCACCTCTTCCACACTGGCAAAACGTTTACCTCTGAGGACTTTTTTCATCCAGAAAAACAAAGGAAAAAGCCACTTAGGGCAAGATTGGGGAATGGGGAGGGTGGGGCATGGGGCTAGTGGGGTTTTTGGTCAAACACTGCCAAGTTCTCCTGGAGTTGTGGGCAGGTGGGCTCGTAAATCACCTGTCACGAAATAGGCAAATGCTCTGAGAGTCTTAGAAAAAACTTCACTGAAGCCAAACTCCAGCAGCTGGTTCACTGATGCCAGTGGGTTTGGGGAACACCCACCCGGCAGGGGCAGCCTGTGCCACAAGGGGCCCGCCCTCCAGAAGGCTGTTCCAGTTTTCTGGGGTCCCCCTCGGCATATACGGTGGAATACCAGTCAGCCAACACAGGCAAATCCGAGAGCATCGGGACAAGGGGAACAAGTCGGACGACAAGGACAAGAACTGTGTGAGCTCACTCGTACGGGGGAATAAAACCAAAGGCAACAAAGGCACAGATGAAGGTGTTTTCCACCCGGTTTTCAGATTAATTGTCGTTCCGTAGGAGGCTCTCTGCAGAGTCACTGCTTGCCCCTCAACCCCACGCCTCGGTCAAATTCCTGTCCGCACACTCGATGCGCAGCGTCCCGGGAGGGACGCCCGTCTGGTGCGATTGAGCAGCGGAGTGTGTCCCTGGGCGGGGCCTCATTCCCAGTTTCCCGCACTGACAACCGGCTCTCCTGGGACTCCACGCTTCCCAGCTTCTCCTGGGCACTAGTGGGTCCGGAGACGCCGAGCACACTCAGTGCTCAGTCACACACACGGTGTCAGTGTCTCACGAAGAAAGGACGTCTCTCGCCACGTTCAGGACCCACGGACTTTTGCACAGGTGACTGCCAACGGCAACGGCCCCCTCGTCTGCGGGCTCGGGGTCCGGCACCCCTGGGACACGCCCCTCAGTTCCGGCACACGCGGGGGCATCCCGGTTCCTGGGCACCCAGGGGCGAGGGCCCACGCAGTGGACATTTACGGGCAACCCACTATGTATATCGAACTAACCAATGAGCTTAGCTTCTAAGTTTTGGTAAAAGTACTCGGAAAATGTAAGCAATTGTATATCTCGCCTTCCCCTGTGAAGACTGAGTGGTTTTGCACAGATTTTCAGGGACAAGCAGAAATCTCGGGGTGATTGACTGGAAACTTCACAGAGAAGACCCCACGCTCCCTTTGGGGCCCACCCCGTCACTGTCAGGCGTGGCCCTCACAGTTCTAAAGGAGCTGCTTTCCACGGTGTCCTTGGAGGGCATGGAGGTCCACACGCCCCACTTTGGGGTGGCTGGGGGACCCCGGCCTTCATTGGGCGTGAACAGGGAGGAGGCCGTTCCATTCGTGATTTCCTAGTGGGACGGGCGAGACCCTCCCCGCGCCCTCCTGTCCAGAAAGACCACAGTGAAATGTCACTCTCGATGGTGGAGGGCTTCCACATTCTTCCGTGTCACCGCACAGCTTGGATGGAGCCCGCAGCACCTCGGAAGAGGTCAGGAGAGCAGAGGGCGTGTTCGGAGGCCGCCACTAAGCCTGACTCTGCGGTGCACTGCGCAGGCGCAGGGGGCCGAGTAAACGCTCCGCGCTTTTAGTGAGGGTTTGCAACGTGCGGGAACTCGGGTCCCGGAGAGGGGGAGCCCAGGAAACCCTGCTTTCCTATCAGGGGGGGCTGGCGGGTGGTAGACCTGTCCGCAGGGCCTGCCATCCTTGGGGGGGGGCTGGTGGCTGAGTCACGAGCGTCCCCCTTCTCTCTCTCTTTTCCTCAGTGAAAGAGAAGGAGGACCTGCACCCCGACCCAGAAGTGCAGTCGGGGAAGGACGAGACCTTCGGTGACTACAGGTAAACACGTGGCTGCCCGAGTGACGGGGTCACAGCCCAGGGCCGTCTCCCAGTGAGGACGCCGCCCTGCCCCCTCCCCACCCCCACGCCCTTAGCTGGGTCAGCACCTTCCTTCCCCCACCCCGAGTGCCGGCCGGGAAGTCCCCCCCCCGGAGACCGTTGTCCTGGGGGCTGCATTCAGCCCCAGGAGTGGCTCCTGGCCACCTTTGCCCAGCCCGAGCCAGAGCCACCACCTGGGTTTCTGTCACCGTGACGCAGCACCCCGTTCTGGGGCCAGTGACAGTCCCCGGCAGGATGGCCTGTGTCACACTCCTGCTGGTTGTGTGTTCAGCTCACCTGGCTCTGGCGATGGTGGTCACTGCAGTGACTGGCTGTGGGGTGGCCACAGGCGGCACCTTAGGGACCCGAGTATGGTCCCTGATTGGCTCGCACGGGGCACACGTCACCTCTGCACATGCTTCCTGGCGACGGTGAGTCCTGTGTGACAGGAGGGGGTAGAGCCGTCAGCCAGATGTCCACTCTTCGGCCTGAGAGGCCACCACAGGCCAGTGTCACCAAGTGCTGGTTATGTGCTCCTTACGTTTTTCCAAACTCCCCCTTTTCCAATTTTGTAGCAGTGTTCACTGTGGTCCGCCACTTTACAGAGTGACGAGGCCACACCAGGTCCCAGGTGTCCCACTCACTCAGTGGCTTCTTCCGAGGAGCCGAGCCTGGACTGGCAGCAGGGGGCACCTGCGGTACCTACGCTCTGAAACGCCAGGCATTCTTTTTACTCCGCAAACCGGAGTTTATGGACTGTACTAGAGGAACTTGTTTGGTTACGAGGCGCAGAGTTTGGTTCAGGAACTGGAACAGGAGAGTGGTTCGGGGAAGGGTTGGCGACCCGGGCGGAGGGTCGGGAAGGCCCAGGAGAGGCGCCTGCCCCGCGGCCAAGTGAGCCTCTGCCGGCGGCCGGGCTCCCCGTTGTAGGGACAGCAGGGGGCGCTGTGAGCATGGAAAACGGGAGCTCGCCCACTCAGGGGGACGCAGATTGGTCCTGACTTTCCAGGCGTGTGTGCGTGCGTGCGTGTGTGTGTGTAAGTGTCCCTCAGGGCTGGTTCCTCCGTCTTCAGTGTCGGCCTGAGCGCTCGGAGACGCGCCGGCACTGCCGCTGGAACCTCCCGCCCTGAGCAGCTCAGAGGACGCTCTGCTGAGCGAGTCTCTTGTTTTCCAGCGACAGCGACGAGAAGCCGCTCCGGGGGAGTCCCCGGTCCCTGCACCGGGACACGCAGGCCACAGAGAGCGCGGACAGCCTGGTGCAGTACGGGGACGGCGACCACGGCCTGTTCAGCGAGGACGGGTCCTTCATCGGCGCCTACGCGGGCTCCAAGGAGAAGGGCTCCGCGGAGAGCAACGGCAGCTCCACGGCCACCTTCCCGCTGCGGGCGTGACGCGCCCCGTGGGGGCGCCCGTCCCGCTGGCCTCCCGTGCCCACCGGCTGCAGGGCGCGGAGCGTGCGCTGGGGACACGGACACGTTGCCCGGGAGCCGTGGGCACTGCAGCGCCACCACGTGGGGAAGAGCGGTGTCGCCTTGGGAAGCGGGGCGCCCAGCCCCCAGGCCTGGGTTTCCTCGTCCGCTCCTCCTGCCGGTGCGAAGGTGCAGAGCCCGCAGACCCGAGTTCAGATCCATCGAGGCCCCTGCATCCGGAGGTCCGCGGGGCCGGGGCCACCCCAGGACGCGGCCTCGGCGAGCTGCGAGTGACTCTGTTACAAGAGGGTAGATGTGAGCAGACAGCTCATTTACGTGTAAAGAGGCATACGAATGTCTTCCTAGAACCCGTCGTTGACTGTGTACAAAGTCTATTATTTAAGTTTTACTAGAGGTCTTAGGTACGCAGCCGGCTCCTATTTATTGAGCTCTAACCGTTTGCCCAGAGGCGGCCACGTGGAAATGGACGTCCGGCAGTTTGGCCTTCATCGTGAATTGCTTTCCCCATGGGTGGTGGTGTCTGCGCACCTCTGGTTGGTTCTGCTTTTGGACTAAGTCCAGCTGCGAGGGAGGGGGCCGCGGGCATCGGCGCCGGCCGGGTTCTTCCTGCCGCCGGGGGCCCTAAGTGGTCTCCGAGTCCACAGGGACCGCCACCTCCTTCCCCGTCTGTGTAAATGTCCGCGGGCCGGCTTCCTGAATGCGCTGTACAGACTGCGTCTCTGCCCACGCGGTTGGGAGTGGAGGCGGTTTCACGTGGAGGCGGAGGGAGAGCGAGCAGGCCCGTCTGTCCATCTGTCCATCTGTCCAGGGCGAAGTCAGCAGGAACACGCCACTTGGCTTCCTTCCGGAGCCACAACCAGAGACGCGAGGCCCCAGATGGAAGACTTTGTCCAAAACGCTTGCATTCTGTCCTGACATCGCTGTTCCCAACAGCCTCAAAATCAGACACCATCTAGGTGTGGGGGTGTCCCCACAGCTTCCGGAACAAGTTTTGCTGCCGTGTGCGCCTGCCCAGCCCCAAAGAGCACTGTTTACAGTAGAGGTTCCTGTGCGTGTGTTCGCCGCCCTCATGTTCCAACCCCCCCCTCGGGGCCCGTTCTGCCCCCTTCCCGCACATGTAGTGTGGGCGCACATCGGGGGCTCGGTTCCTGGCACGCGGGCTGCAGGTCCTTCCGGAACTGTGCGTGAAGGCCGCTTAGAAACAGTGTTGGGGACCCTGCATGCGAGTTGGTTAAATGCAACGTCAACTTCTCAGCTGGTGGGAACCTGTTTTTGACTTGCCCCGAAGCTCCGAATGTTTACGTGAAATCCACTCGCGGATTCTACTTTCTTTTTTGAACTGCAGTTGTGGGCACAGCTCCTTAAGTCCTGGACTTCGATTGCCGCACCCACTCGATTTCCTGGGGGCCAGAATTAGGGGTGTTTGTCAGGGTGGTTAGCGCAGTAACCCGAGTGGGCTGCCGGTTTAGACCGCGTGCGCCCCTGGACTCCCACCGCGTCTGCTCTCCTAGGAGCGGCTTTTCCGGGGGCTGCAGCTTCGTGGGTGGGATCCCGGGAGCGTTTCCTGTGCTCAGCGCCGAGGAGGCCGCATGCGGCTGGGCCTTGGGGGGCAGCAGGGCAGAGCTTTTAGCTCCTGTTGTTTGTCATCGGTCAGAAGGGGCCTGAAGGGGACCGTGCAAGTTGGGAACGGTCTCAGAAAAGTCACAGGGGTCAGATTCACTACACATTGAACACCAGTGACAACACGCTCCCTTTTCCCACGGCTCCTTCCACCGCCTGGGTGGTGACGAAGCCCCTGCTCATGTATGCTGAGTGCCCCAAACTCATGGACGTGGGGAGCACCACCCATCCCAGCGTGTTTGGCTTCCCCCTGAAGCTTTGGTGCAGGAGGGCCGGGCCCCCAGCTGACTTCCCCGGTCTGCCGTCACCGCTGCGTGGGTGCGGCGGGTTGCACCTGCTCTCGGGGGCGGCAGGCTGAGTCACCCAGGGCCACCCCGGGGAGGGGGGGGGAGATCCGGGTTCTTTCCCGGATCCAGAGCTGCCGCCGGGCACCAGGCCTTCGGCAAGTTGCTCGTCCCCTTCGCTTGGAATGGTCTCCACTGTGAGGCGCCAGCCATGTGCTCGGTTACCTTCTCTTTGTCACAGGGTGTTTTTTATGGAGAAAATAATAAAAACTGAGATGCCTTTTAACTTCATAAACAAACCGCTACCCCAGCGCTGTATCAAAAAGTCACCCCCACACACCAACACGGTTTCCCCTGTGAGCACATAAATATATTTTTATAGAGAAACAGATCTACAGGAAGCCAGTCAGTCTCCTGTCCCGTGAGCGGTGTGTTGGGCACGTGCCGTCACCACCGAGTGACGAGAAGAAAACCAGGCGGGGTCTTTGCTGCGCACGCGTCCTCTGCACGGACTTCGCATGAGTATTCGTGAGACAATGCGCGTTCCACGGTTTGTTCTACTCGTGTAAAGGCACCGACATTTTAGGTGAGCCCATGTTATAAGAAAGGTAAAGCACAATGCAGTTGTGCAGGAAATCCCAGATGATATTTTGTCCTGTTTTATATTCATGGAGAGATGAGCTAAAGAGAGACCCATAATGAGAAACGTCGGTTTGTTTTTTTTTCTAAGCACGAAACATGTAGTTGCCAATAGAAACCCTAAATACGTTTACACGACGTTACAGTGGACTGTGGACACCTTTCTGCGTGGACCCCATGGGGCCTGGGTCCTGCCAGGCTGGTGCATCCGCCTGCGAGCCAGGCGAGGGGTGCAGCTGGCCGGCTCTGCTCCGTGGGTCTGGGTGGCCGACGACGCCGTCAAAGGAGGTACAGGAGTGAGGCCAGCGTGCCCGACCGCGGTCTGTCGGCCCGGATCGATGTTCACGGTAGAACTTTGTTAAAACGTGTTTGTGTTGTAGGTGGCGGTGTGTTTTGCCTGTGGAAATGTACGGCTTCAGAATATTTTCATTATACATGAAATTCGACTTTCCAAATAAAAGTTCGACGTCACAGGCCCAAACAATGTTTGTGCTCTTTTCGGTCCCGATGAGAAAAATCAGAATTTTCTTACCAACCGAGTCCTCACTTGCCTTTGATCCCAGAGTATCAATCCGTGAGGTATAGATTAGTAAAAGATAAATGAGGTATAAATAAAGTGCTTTTATTTCAACGACTATATTGCCAAGAGACGATTTAAGACTAATGTCTGTAAAATGTAATATGCCAATACATTCTATACTTCAGATCAGTGTAAAATTAAGGGGAATGTATATCCATCTGGTTGTTTTTAAAACGGTGCAGAAATGCCACTTTCCAGGAAAATGCCCAATAACTGTGCTTCCCCAAAACCCCGTGGGCGCCAGACTCCCAGTCCGGCGCGGAGCAGGTGCCTGTTGAAACTCGGGGTGTCAGGAGGGTTTCCTGTGTGCAGCGCATTGAACACAGTTTCCTGTCCGTGGACTCCAGGCCCAGGCCCAGGCGGCTGCGCACTTGGCACGCGTGGGCAGCCTGCCCCGGAGACAGGACTTGCAGCCGCGGCTGCCGGCCCCACACCCAGGCCCGAGTCCCGTGGGGCGTCTTTATGACCCCACTTCCACCTTCTCAGGGACACGGAGGGGAGGCGAGTCTGCGGTTCCGGCTGGTCATGTTCACACAGGTCTTGGGTTTCAGAAGCGTGGTCACGGCATCGGCAGGGAACGGCCACTGTGGTGCCCGTGGGCAGCGGAGTGGTGCGCCCCGAGCAAGGCAGGGGTGGGGATGAGTCGTAAGCCCGGTGCATCGGAGTTCGAGGGAGGGGAACGCGGCGTCCGGCCTTACCGGCCCCCGGGGTGCCACGCAGACTCAGTCTGGGCCTCGTGGTAACTCCGTGGCCCCGCTCACGTGTCCGATCCGTCCAAGGTGATCGTCATGTGCCGACATGTGACTCCAAGGGACTGTCAGCTCGGGGTTCTCCTTAGGTCGGGGCTTTGTGGGTGACTCCCCTCCTGGACGTCTGCAGGCCCCTCAAAGCCGGCGTTTCTTCCCGCCCAGGGGCAGCTCCCCGCTCCAGGTGCTGACCGCCCCCCTGGGTGCTGCCTGTTCCCCCCACCCAGGCTCAGTCCGTCACCAGCTGCTGCTGTCACTGCTCCAGCGTCTCCTGGATTCTTCGTTGGCTGCTCTGCCTGCGCCCGCGGTCGTGCCTGCCGGCCCTTGTCCTTGGGCTGTGCCGCCGGTCGGCACCCCTGCCCTGGGTGGGTGCCGTCGGGCGCAGGTCTGGCCGTGCTCTCCCCCCTCTGACCCCCAGTGGGGTTCCCTCCCTCTCTGCACGTAGGACGGCTCCCGTCGCGCGTCAGTGTCCTGCATGGCCAGACCCCGCCCTGCGCCCAGCTCCTTCACTGGCTGTTCACTCTTCCTGTGTCCCTCCCTGTCCCTCGCTGAACCTCGGTGCCCCTGGGGCCCCTCTCGTTGCCCCAGACCTCATCTGGGCTGCACCAGCAATGGCCCCGGTGGGCAGTTCTGCTGCAACCACAGCTACTCCCGGTGACCATGGGCGTGAGGTTCATGGGGCACCTCTGGCCAGGCCTCTCTATGGCCAAGAGGCAGGAGACCCTCCCAGGGCCGTCCCGGCCCCCCAGGAAGCACAGAGGGGAGAACAGCAGACGGAGCAAACAGGCACTCGTGGGAGGAGGCTCCTGGCGCACGGGTCCAGCCTTCTCTGCACTCCCCCATCCCCTCCCCGCCCCTCGCACAGGATGGTCCCTGCGTTGGGGCATCATTGGCAGGTTCAGTGGCCAGGTCAGTCCAGCGCCTCCTGCAGGCCCCCCTCGGTCCCCGCCTCGCTGCCTCTGGGCCTCCTGCCTCGCACACGTGTGTGTCAGGCCCACACTTGCTGGTGAACCCACTGCGGCGCGCTGGTGGCTGTGGACTCCGCTGTGCAGGGACCCAGCCAGGGCGCCCGTATTTTGTCGGTGGCAAGTACCGGTCAATCCCGTCCTCTGCCCAGGCCCCT